CCTCCGCGTAGCGCTGTGCCTCGGAAACTAGCCACGGGCCAAGGCTCTGAAAATGCGAAGGAAAAGAAATGAGCGACATGACAAGATGGAACAGACGAATTCGAAAGAAAAGCTCTGGGGACGATAGTGGATGCAAAGATGACGAACAAACCACAACAAAACAAATAGGTCACAACAGGAAAGACGGACCTGCAGGACGAGAACGATGCTCTTAGCATCAACGAAATCCTCGAAGAGCCGCTGGCTGCTAACGAGGGATGCCACGTCATCCCTCTCGCAAAAGAGCCGGAAGTTGTCCTTCAGCTCTTCTGGAGTGACCGGCACCCCCTGCCGCGCGTCTTCAGCGTCAAGGAATCCCACGTCCTTGCGCATGTTGTCCATCACCCCGGCCAGCAAGCAGCTGGAAACGGCACGGTGGGGCGGCACGGTGGGAAGAATATTAGGTCAGGAGGAGGCATAAGGTCAGAAAGGTAAGGATGAATTCACTGCAGAGGCGGGAAGTGATTACATAAACGCACACAGACATTGAAGAGCGGTACCAAGAAGCAGATGTTCAAAATAATCATGGCTGCTATCGATTGCCGAGTGGTGAAAAGACGGAACCAGAACAGAACAGAAGAAGCGCAGCGAAGCCTTGAATGACAAAGGTTGAAGCGAAAGGCGATAAGCTTAAACTTGAGAGCGCATAACAGGACCCAACAAAAGCGATTCAACAAACGATAGTTTGGACGCGAGGGACATGGGGAGTTCGAGAAAGCGCAAACAGCCCACATGGACGACCGTGGTGTACTAGTTATATAGGTCGGTTTAACTATCCCAATTCAGCTACAACAACTACACGTGGGCTGAACTTCAAGCTACACAGCGGCCTAACCTTGGTTCGCATGCCGTGGCGCCATTGCAGTATTGGCAGACGATGTTGTTGTGCTCGTCCACCCAGAGCGGGATTGAGCCATATGCCTTATAGACTGTCTTCTGGTTCTCCGACAGGCGGGGAACGGGATCTCCTAACCTGTGCGGCATGGCTGCGTGATATCTGCTCTGAAGGTGCTAACGATGGCTTGCGGAGTGGTAATCAAGATTGTGCTGAATTAAAAAAGCTAGAACGAACGTGGGAATAGACGGCGGTCTCGAATCTCTCACTGCGACTTGCTAGTGTTAGGATCACCTCGTGCAAATGGAGTTGATGGGACAGGAAGACAACGACTTGGCAGTCAAAAGGGAGTGGCTAACTTGCTTGCTAGGGTTTGGGGGAACGCCTTTGGGGAAGCGGGAGGGGAAGGCTGAAGGGGAGTTGGGAAAGTCTGGGGGCCTGGGCTCAGAAGGAGGTTTGGCTTTCGGATTCAACGAGTACAGTGGGATGCAGTTTGATCTGGCAAGGGGGATGCAGTGGCAACAGTTTCCCCAAGGCGGGGTGTGTGGCCCTATCCCACCCAGTCACATGTCAGCTTGGATCAACTGCACCATTGCTGTGCTGTGACCATGGCCGAAGGTGAGAGGTCAGCCACACAGATCTGTTGGGACGGGGAGCGCGGATTTGTTCCGTTGGAACTTGACCTGTCTGTCTCGATTGTTACGGGCGCCCAAGCAATGCATTGGGTTGGGGGAGAGGAAAACACCAGGTGCCCGCACTTTCAGCGCCAGCTGTGGATGAGGCGATTCCTGCCCAATGGTTTCCAGATTCTGTGCGTGAATCTCAAATCAGTGACAGGTGGCGCCTCTTGAGCCATGAGACGCACAAGGTATGACGTGGATATTCGTATCTGTGAGCATGAACAATCTGACGCTTGATTTTCGTTTTATGTACCGCTTTCCGGAATCCTCTTTCAATTTCGAGGATAATGTATCTTTCTGCGTGGATGCAACGTGACTGGGGGGACAATGCGCTATTTCTTTTGCTGTACAGTTTCGGGGTCGTCACACCCATTTCTGCACCTCATTCCAGTTTTCCCTCATAATTTCCAGGGTCGGACAACCCCGTGACAGTGATGGCATTCCCCAACTCAGGAAGCAGCACTGTAGCGACGAGATTGTTGAACCAAGACAACACCGCATATAGCGAGCTCGTTACAACTTTCTACTCGAGCTCATTCCAAAACTGTGGGTAGTGCAGGTCTGTTTGACCTTAGTGAGCTCTACTTAAAATTGAGTACATATAGAAAAACTTGTCATCTCCTAGGCCCTAAAACCTAATGGTAATTTTGTACCACATCCTTCAAAGGTTCTCAGGGTCACGAGAATGACCCCCTTCATAAGCACAAGCTCGATATATTTTCAGCAAGATTAGATCGATTCTTTGTCTCCAAAACGCAAAAACAGGAAATAAGATATTGCTTTCGTATTAAAAATATAGGATGGGGGATGGTGGACTATAACCACCAAGCATGAACACTCTATAACTGCTGGTTGTCATAATGGTTGTAATCAACTGTAAGGTGAGTAATACACCAAAGTTCAGGATCAGCATCAGCTCACATCCAATGTGGATGTTTGACAAACGTCGAAAAGGGTCATGAAATCGCATCCGTCGGATATTCAGATGTCTATTGAATCCGACGGTAAAAGGGTATCCCGCTTTGGAGATGCAACTTCGAATAATATCTTCCAACGAGGCTTCTTGTTAGAGGTGTGCGTTATAGCAACACTGCTGATGTGTGTAAGCATTGGTGGAGTTCACAACTGACCTGCCACAACGATTGTCGGACGTGGCTGGCGCGAACGGCCGAAAGGGGCGCGAAAAGGCAGTGTTTTCCACGGTGGACAATCTTGTGCTGCAAAGTGATATGTTTTGCCACATGGGCAATAAACTTCCCACAGCTGAAGGATCGGCGCTACCAGAGTCTGCCACATAGGCGTACCTTTCATTTCACATGAGTGGACATGCTTAGTTGGCGCTGTTACTGGATAACGCCCAGCTCGAGCTGATCCACGACCCATCACAAGAGCTTTTATAACACCCAGGGAACCGTTTTGTCAAGCAATTAGTGCAAGCTTCCACACCAAGTTCTTGTTCTTCCTTTTCGTGTCAGAAAAGGAAAATGGCTTCCATCACCTCCTCAGCGATTGTTGCCCCCGTTGCCTTCAAGGCAACTGTGGAGGCCTCTGCCGCTTCCTCCAAGTCCGTGTCCTTCTCCGGCTTGAAGGCTGGTGTTGCCTCCAATGGCTTCGCCGCCAAGACTGTCTCCAACGGCAGCCGCGTCTCTTGCATGAAGGTCAGTGGTTCATTGCCGTATATCTAGTGGTAGTGTTTACGGCTCGGTTGAGTCGGGTTGGTATAGTCCACACATTGTTGCTCTTTCTCAGTGGCTAGTGACTTCCAGAAAACTACGTGCTAACATCACTTTCACTTTCAATGTGCAGGTGTGGAACCCCATCGGTAACCCCCGCTTCGAGACCCTGTCCTACCTCCCCGCTCTCACCGATGACATGATCATCAAGGAGATCCGGTACATGCTGAAGAACGGCTGGATCCCCGCTATTGAGTTCGACCCCAGCGGTGTCGTCTACAGGGAAAACAACAGGGGCCCCGGTTACTATGATGGCCGCTACTGGACCATGTGGAAGCTGCCCCTCTTCGGCTGCACTGATGCCTCCCAGGTGCTCAGGGAGATCAACGAGTGCAAGTCTTCCTACCCCGGTTGCTTCATCCGTGTTCTGGGCTTCGACAATGTGAAGCAGGTCCAGTGCATGTCTTTCATTGTCCACAAGCCCTAAATCTGGGTTTGAGTTACTTGTCGACGTAGTTCTAATATAAATACATTTTCCAACATTTGGCGGTCAATTATCTGCGCTCTTTTCGTAGGAACACCAAAACTGGCATTCTAACGCAGTGCTCAATCTTAGTAGACTCGTAAAGTAGAGGCGGCCAGGCTAGCGAACGTATCACTGGTTAATACGCGACGGCAAAATGGCGTATTACGTACGAGGCGAGCGCACTTACCACTGATTAATCCGTGTGAGCTGTTATGGTTTTGAAAAAGGGATTCGACGGACGGGTGGACGGTTACCAGTGGCAACCATGTTGAGATATCCGTGTCCACCTCAGTGCAGAAGGACCACTGCTAGAGTGATTCCTGAACCTCCATCTGGGGAGAGGTAACAAAGGCAGATCCCCACTGCAAAGGAGACCAGATGAGCGTCTCTGCTCCAGGAGTTCTCAATACTGACGAGTTGTCACGCGAGTTTTCCTTACGGAACGATTCACCCAAAACGGTTGAAGGGCCTGCTGTTTGGAAACTATGCACAAGGATGAGCTTTCCAGTGCGCACTGGGCACAGGGCAGATGGTAGTGAGTGGTTTCTGTCTGAGCAGCTGAAGGACAAAAGCTGGCCTTTGAGAATCCAACATGAGGAGGTATTCACTCCTCTGCGAATCCCCCTTCTGCTCCCCACTCACACCCCCCTGTTTCACTCTTCGCTCTCCATAAGTCCGGTTTCAACTATCCAACCCTTGATTCAACGATGTCTGATTTGTCATCGATCTCGGTCGCTAGGATTGAAGTGCTCGGCTGGAATCTCAGTATCCCCCGGAAGAAGGCAGGTATGGTATCATACCGTATGATAAATCTGAGCTGCATGCCTGGTGTGTCTAATGCACAAAGCACTACAGCCCTAGCATTCTGATTTCTGCAGAAATCTGTGAAAAGCTCGAAGTGCCACCAGGTACAGCACCAATCATGATGAAAATCCAGGCTAGTGAACTCAGGAATTGCAGTTGACAATCCCCACTTGATTGATCGACCCACTCAGGTGGTGTAAAAAAATGATTTGAAGCTGCCCAGTCACTTGTACAAGCATGCTGTTTATTGGACCAGTAAGTACACACTGAGATCCTGGTTACTGAACTACTGAATTGAACGACATTTGTATACATTTCAAATCAAACCTCATAGCAACTTTGCACACATGCAAAATTACATTGAGCACTGTCAATCTCAGATTGCGTGCTATCCTCATTTAGCAAACACAGCTAAGGGGATAGCATGTAGAGCTGCTGAGAAGCTACTTTTTTTGTGCAAACACAACCCACAACAAAAAATCGAGAATAGTTGTGGGAAGGTAGGACATGAGTACAGCAAAGAGTGCTTGGTGGCCATACAGAACCCGCCACGGAGGACTGCCTTTGCCCAATGCCACATCAGCGAGTCGTGCAGCAAAATCAGCGGTGTTAGTTGCCCATGGATTATCCGCACTGCCAGCAAACTGCTCTCTGTAACATGCCTCATAGGGCTTGAAAAGGCTTGAACTGGGAAGGATGGGAGCGCTGGCAAGAGCGTTACTGCAGCAATGAGGGGGCCATCAGGAGTGGAGTGGAGTGGAGAGGGGCACGAGAGTGAACAGACTTGTTGCCTAGCGATGTGGGTTACCGTGGAGTGGGGGAGGAACGTGCACAAACGTGGATGTGAGAGGAACGTGGACTGTGGGACGAGTGTTGAATGTGGGAGGGGTGAGCAACGTGGGAGAGGAGTGTGCAATGTGGGAGAGGAGTGTGCAATGTGGGAGAGGAGTGTGCGATGTGGGAGAGGAGTGTGCAATGAGGGAGGGGTGGGCAACGGGGAACAAATGCTCCACGTTGCCTCCTCAGTGCAAACAGGGAAAGAAATCAGCAATCACTTCCTCAGCAGCCAGATTTTTTTCAGCGGAAAATAACACACATAAAGAACGGCGCATTTCGTAGCGCCCCAAACACAACGAGTCGGCTGACCGGAAGATGCGAGACTTAATGTAGCCCGGAGTGACAAGCACCGCGTCAATGCCGAAGTTCCGCATCTCCATGCGCATTCAATGTCCCAAGGATCCAAGCTCATAGTGGAGTAGCAGCAAGCAACCAACTGACCGGAAGATGCGCGACTTGATGTAGCCGGGTGTGACGAGTACAACGTCGATGCCAAAGGGCCGCATCTCCATGCGCATGCAGCTTGTGGCCGCAGCGAGCGCTGCCTTGCTGGCAGAGTAGGCACAGCTCCACGGCCTGCCCACGGGGAAGGATATTCAACGAAGAAGTCCCCTTTTCAGGACACTTTTCGAGGCAGGCCACAACGATACGAAATGGTTCTACGAGGGTAGTTGTTAGAATTTTTCACAAAGTGGCATTTCCAATGGGACGCAGAAAGTTGAGTGCGCAGGTGATGGAAGGTACGGTATGTTGGAGGGGCAGGGAAGGAATGACGATTGATAAGCATGAGGGATGGGCGAGAAGAGAGGGACTCACCTGTTGACATACGCCGCGACACTGGCCATGTTCAAAATGCGGGAGCGAGTCCTGTGAATAGGAGGCAGAGGAAGAGGAGGAAGAGGCAGAGGAGTCAAATAATGGAAGCAGAGGCAAGAAGAGCACAGAGACAATGAGTTTCATAGATGGCCTCACGTGCTTGCTATTGCTGCTCCACTCCGTTTCAGCAACAAGCTTCTACTCTTGCAACTCACAAAGGAAGGGAAGGACACCTCGAGCCATGGTAACAGCACAGCAAGCAACCAAGGAGAGCAGAAAAATCAGGCAGATACAGACCCTCACAGGCATAGATATCTCCTGCTGCCGATCCATTTCGACACCCGCTTGTTACCAGCGTAGCGCAAGAAAACCGGCAGAAAAAGAGCAACTCACTGCTGTACCATGATGGGGAAGACAGCTTGCGCCATGGCGACGGCGCCATAGAGATCGATGCCCAGCACCTGGCGTAGCTGGTGCAGAGGCACATCGGCCACGCCCTGTTACCAGCAAAGCACAAACCGGCAAAGCACAGAACAGCAGGGTAAGAGCCACTCACTGCTGCTGTGCCATTACGGGGAAGACAGCTCGAGCCATGGCGACAGCGCCGTAGAGATTGACGTCCAGCACCTGGCGGAGCTGGTCTAGAGGCACGTCAGCTACGGGGCATGGCATGCCGATGCCCGCGTTGTTCACTAGGACGTCTATCCGTCCCTCCTCTGCCACCACATGGGCCACTGCTGCCTGAGAATGGCAGAAACGAGGGGGTTGGAGGGGTGGGAAAAAGGGATTTTGAGTGGCCCAGATTGCATATCGGCCACGGGCCACGGCATGCCGATGCCCGCGTTGTTCACCAACACGTCCATCCTCCCCTCCTCTCCCCACCACATGCGCCACTGCTGCCTGAGAAGGTGAGCGGGAGGAGGGAGGAGGGTGGGGGGGAGGAAAGGACTTAGTGCTGACCACGAAGCACAGCACACAGATGCATGCGGTGGTTACAACCAGGTCTGCCCGTCCTCCCCTTCCACCACAAGGCCCACTACCGCCTGAGAAGGGAGGGGGGGGAGGGGTGGAGAGAGTACGGTACCAAGAGGATTTAGACATGAATCGAGATTGCTCCTGGAAGGTGGAGCTGCCCATGCAAACCCCGGGAAATGGCGTGCCGCGTGCGGACAAGTTCCAGTCAAGAAAAAAGCACGGCTTCTGCGGATGTCAGGCATCGACCGGAGAGGTATGGATGAATGAACCTCACCAGTCACCTGTATAGTGCAATTTGTAGAACCTCAGTTTTTTTTTTTTTTTTTTTTTTTTTTTTTTTTTTTGGGGGTTTCCAACTTCCAGCCAATCAATTTAGAATTTCCAAATGAGACAAGTTCGTTCTCCGATCCACCTGAATAGATTCTTCAATGGTAACGTCAAGCTCCAGGGTTCGAATCCCGGTGCTGACATTCAGTCCCTCCATTTCCGCCGCCTTCACCGCACTCGCGTACACCCGCGCGCCTCTCCGCGCCAGCTCCCTGAAAACGGCGTGACATGGTTGAAATGTCACGTATAGCGAAAAGATACACGAGGAATGTAACACTATTCTTTCGTCGCATTCGCACACACGGTACCAGAACGGGTACCAGCATGGATGGATTCGCAGGGTTAGACGGCGAAGAGCGCGAGAAATGGTGTGGAGTAGATCTCGCGCCAGCGCACTACTGATGCCGTAACGCCGATTCAGCAACACAGCTCCAAGCTGCCTCGTGGCCCATAGTTAATAGGCGATTTGCATAATCAGAGCACCTTGCATCGTGAGAGGAAATTTCCAAGTTACCTTGCTGGATTACGGGCTTACTCCGCGAGAGCATAGCCGATGCCACCCTGGGAGCATCCAGTTATAAGCACCACAGGACGGGGATTCATATAAGTTTTCTCCGTGCTCTTTGGTCGGCTGAAGAGTCCGCCCATAGTGGCGTGAGGAACATCAACGTAGTAAACGGAGATGGTTGGAATGATATAAGCACATGCTACGCAATAGTTAGGAAACGGAAACTAGTATAGGACGTGGTTGCGGCACCACCGCCTTGCAAACCAAGGCCGGTTCAACGGGATGGATGTGGAGAAAGGCAGCGATGTTGGAGGAGTGGTTTCCACACCCTGGTTGCCACGTTACGTTACACTACCGAGCGAACCAGTGAAAAACGAAAATCCGAGCCGAAGCTGTTCAGCTCGTGGGCCCTTCTTCGGTTCGGACCGAACGACTGAGATTTTTCTTGGTGCTGCTCCACGAATATCTCTTGCCAGCGCAGCCTATCACGGGATTGCGTCATGCCGTTGCTTTCAGTCTAGTGGTGGCTCTTGGCGGGCTTCTGCGACTGTGCAGTGCATGGGTTGCGGTTGTTGTAACTCAACCACTCTTGAGGGCAGGGTAGCGGGCAACTCGGAATATCTGGGCACATCTCTTGGCTGCCATCAGCAACGAACTCGTCCGTGGCTTTCTGAGGCTGGGGAAATTTCACGGGCAACGATGGAATTCCCTGGGCAGTATGATCACGTGGATACGATCAGATCACAAGGGGGTTGTGGAACAGGTTTAATGCTGCCCTAAAACTGAAAGCAACCCCCGCTATTCGAACCTCGTTCGCTTTCAAGCAGATAGGGAATGTGGAAGTTGGTATCTTCAAAGAGACCACGATTTCACTGTGCTGATAACGCCACCTGCTATTTTGCTGGAAAATTTATGAACTCTATGAAGTGTTTGAAGGCACTTAGCAGGCTGCTGCTGCCCAGGGAAGAGGGCATACGGGTAACACTAAACAAACAACAGGTTCAGTCCATAGAGAATGTCGTGCTGGCTGCCCCAGACGAGGTTAGGCAAAGAGATAAAGATTGCTTTATCACACACAGGCACGGGATGACATTCTGGAACGAGAGGCGTTGAAGCAACGCCGGATACCCGTTCGCTCGCTTTTGTCCACCTCAGCATATCGAACGGCTCCTGGGTACTGCCTGAACATATCCGCTACATGAATCTCCAGTTTCAGCGGTCATTCTGACCATGCCCCGATAAAGGAGCACCTCCTCTGGTGAAGGCAATTGGACGGAGTTGCGCCGAGGCGACACAAACACAGCCGGCGGAACAGAGTGCTGCGTTGGCGGTTTTCGGTCGTCCATGCCCGTGCAAAAAATGATTTGCGCGTGATCATCTTCGCGAAAGTTCCGCCTATGCTTTTCCCCGTGTACACCCCTTCCGCCTGGATGTGGAGGCATCTGCAATCCACATCTTCGTTCTGCGTGGTCTGCGGCTAGGGTTTGGTCTGCTCACAGCCAATGGCAGTACAGCAACTGATGGTGAGGGTTTCGTGGCTCCACGAAAGATTGCCTGCAGCTGGTTCTCAAGCAAGCTGGTCCTAGCAGCTCTTCTGTAATCTCTTGGCTGGCCTAGCTCCTAGCAAGAATAGCTCATCTGATTCCCCCGTACGCCCTGGCGCGATTAGGATTTTCCGTCGTTTCCGCATGCCTGCAGGATTAATGCGTATTTCAAAGAAGACTACGCTAATCTGAGAATTTCCTTAGTTATATTGCGAATAGCTTCATGAATTGTTATGGCTGGCGAATTTGGAGAACGTTTAGAGCCAGCGGACGGAAATGATGACTGGCCTTGTCAGCCGTCGGATCGCATAGAGCATTGTGGAAGCCATGGGATCCATCAAGAGTTCAGGAAAATTGATCTTGAGAATGAAGGGGGACCGAGCGAAGGTTTAGACGTCGCTGGACCGCTTCTTAATAATGACCGAAATCATGAGCAGCAGAGTCGTCAGGAACAGGTGCAGGAAATTTTGGCTGAGCAGCAGCAGCAGCAGCAGCAGCCGCAGCAGCAGTCACAGCCATTACAGCCACATCAATTAGACGACGCAGTGAATATGGACATGGATTGTCCGGGAGTTGCGGTGGATTTCGACAGGGTTCAGGAGCCTGCAGCGGAGGACGATGAGGACAATAGGAATCGGAACGAAGACGACGAAGACGGGGAGGAGACGGGCGACGATTTTGAGTTGCACGACGGGCCGATTAACAACGACGGCGGAGGCATCTCCGCGGGAGGGCCCGGGTGGGAGGCGTTCTTACCGCAGGGTAGTCTGAGGGTTTTGCTGGTCGAAGACGATGACTCCACCCGCCATGTCGTCGGCGCGCTGCTGAGAAACTGTTCTTACGAAGGTCCGTAGTGTGTCGCTCTTGCGAAGCTCCGTCTGGATCTGTAGGAAGGTCCGGAGGGTTTGAGCGTGCGAGTAGAAACTTGCGTATGCTCGGTAGCCGTCCCGCGTTTTTTAAGATGCGTTTAGAAGCGATACGTTGTCGTCGTCCCGGCTTCTCTTTCTACGTTTTTTAAGCCACTTCAGCGGCAGCTTAGTTCGTCATTACAGTCCGCCGAAATTTGTAGACCGAGGTAGCCTTTCTCTGTTGCATCCGTATAGATGAACAGAAATATCGACCATGCATAGTTTCGCCGATGTTTTCTCCGCATCTCTTACCAACGCGAATCAGACCATGTAGAGAATTCTTAACGGCAAAGGACGGCAACCTGTCGTCGAGATTTGTTAACGAACAGCGCAGCATATTCTACCGTGGTTCTCTTAGCGTAATCTCGGTTCATGCGAGTCCAAATGCGATTGGTTTTAGGAAGCGCTAATCCGTAGGCCTTGTCTACTCGCGGCCGTGCGAACGAGTGTTCCCGGGGATTCGGAGTCACTGCATTCGTTCTTGGCCCGCCCGTTTCGGCGTTCTTCTTAGTTGCACCGTGCGCTTCCTCGTTTCGATTCTCAGTTGCACGCAGTTTCAACAAAAGCGGCATATTATCCTCGGTGTAGTCACTACCTTCGCGACGTCTTTCCGACGTCCCTTGGTCGTCGCAGTTTCCCCAATCATGTCCCTTCTCTTGCCTACATTACCCACTCCGTAACCCGCTGGCGTTCCCCCGTTTCTCACAACTTCCCCGCGCCCTCCCCAATTTCCCCCGTCTCCCCCGTCTCCCCTGCTCCCCCCTGTCCGCAACAGTGACTCCCGCGTCCAACGGTGTGCACGCGTGGGAGCTGTTGACGGCGAGCGGTGCAGCTCGGTTCGACCTGGTGCTGACGGACGTGGTGATGCCGGGGCTATCAGGCATCGGGCTGCTCACGCGCATCATGACGCGCGAGGCGCTCCGCGGCATGCCAGTTATCAGTGCGTACCGCTTCTTCCCCTCACGCCACCGTCACTCCCGCCGTCTCTCGCGCCGTCTTTAGCCGCTCAAGATTGGATTGCGGCTTCAATGGCTTTTGTCTGCTTCCGGAAAATTTTGCGACGTCTCGAATCACGTGCTCCGCATCAACAGCTGCAGGCGCCATTTCTGCCCATGCGCCGCCATTTCTGCCCACGCGCCGCCATTTGACACCCCATTTGATATCATGTGCTTCTCGTTTCACTGTTGCTTCCTTTTTTCTCCTGCTTCTTTTGTTTCAACCTCCTCTTCGTCTTCTCGCAGTGATGTCATCGCACGACAGCATGGAGATGGTGCTGAAGTGTTTTCAGAAGGGCGCGGCGGACTTTCTCGTGAAGCCAGTGCGCAAGAACGAGCTCAAGAATCTCTGGCAGCACGTCTGGCGCCGATGCCACTCCGTACGTTCCTTCGCCCTTTCCTCTCTCGCCCTTTTCCCGCTTGGTCTTTCTCCTTTCGCGCGTTCCCCTTTCCCGCATCATTATTCGGCGCACATCTCACTTCCCTCGTCAAGCCCGTGCGCAAGAACGAGCCTCCGCGCCTCTGCTCCGCGTCTCTGCACCGCACGCGACTGCGCTGTGCTGCTCCGCTCTGCTCGCTCGCGTTTCGTTCGCTGCATTGCGCGCCGCTATGATGCCCTGCCCTGGATCTAGCTCCCTTGCCTTGCCATCGGACTTCACCGACGTTTCTCGACCATGTTCCAACCTTACATTTCCAGTTGGTGGGGGTCCTAACCTTGCTTGTGTGTTTGCTTGTTTTATTTTCTGTGTGGGCAGTCAACGGGCAGTGGCAGTGGCAGTGGCAGTGGCACGAACGGCAAGGTGCTACGAGAGAAGCGGGGCGCGTACGAGGGCGACGGCGTGGGGTGCAGCTTCAATGTGAATGGCGGCAGCGACAACGGCAGTGGCACTCAGGTTCGTATCGGCCCCCGTGCTGCTGCTGGGATCGATGTTGGGAACGATGCTGGGAGTGACGCTGGGAGCGATGCTGGGGGTGATACTGAGAGGGATGCTGGGAGGGATGCGGGCAGTCGCACGTGCTCGCCTGTACGCGCCAGCATTGGCCCCTGGTCGCAGTGCCGAATGGACGGCTTGACATGCAGCCTGGGGCGCACGCCCCCGCGCACTGACCCGCTTGGAAAACGAGTCAGAAGTCCCGAGGCTGGCGCTCCCTCACGTCCGGATCCAGGCTGGGCTTCAGGCTCGGCGTCAGGCTCGGACTCGAGCTCGGATTTGTCCTTGAACGAGGGCTCATGCTCTGGTGATGATGGGCAGAAGCGCGGTGGTTCGTCTTCCGCCCTCGTCTCCGCTCCCCGCGTTCCTGCGCCGCCTCCTCTCCGCCCCCCTCCCGCTGCTGCAGCGCTTCTGCACCTGCCGGGGCGCCGCTTCTCACACTTCTTGCGGAGTGATATTGCGCCATGGAACGGCTGAACGCCATCTCCTTCTCTTCCCCGCGCCATCTCCATTCCGCCCACTTCTCCTCTTTCCCTCCTGCCTTGGTCGGATGAACGCCAACTCACCTCATTGTCTCTATCCGCTCTGCTCTGCTGCGCTGTGCGTGTGCCTGTGTCCCTCCCTTGGGGCACCCTGATTGCCGGGGGTGGGGGTGCGGGGGGGGAACAGGTCAACGCCAATGCCACCAAGGCGCACGCGCGGGAGAAGCAGGAGAGGGAGAGGGAGAGGGAGAATGAGCGCGAGAGGGAGAGGCAGGCGGAGGGAGAGGGCAACTGCGACGGCACAGGGAACGACCTAGGTAATGGCACCGCCTGGTAACGCTTTATCTCTCTTTCTCGCTTTCCCTCACCTGCTTTCGACTGTTTATTCTTTTATTCCGCTCCAGCCATTCCGCTCCAGCCATTCCGCTCCAGCCATTTCGCAGCATTGCCTTGTATCCATGCCTAACCTCTACCACCAATGCTTGCCCTCCCCTTCCCCCTTCCTTCCTTTCCCCCCCACCCCTTCCGCGCACACCCCCACCCCCATCTCTCCCCCCTTCCCCCCCCCCCCCCCCCCCCATTTGGTTGCTCTCCTTTTTTTCTCGCGCTCGTTCCTTCTGCTCGTGTTGGCGTGTGCTATCCGTCTAAACGTGCCTGCTCGCCTGCTCTCCCCTTCTCCTGCGCGCGCGTCTCTCACGGTAACAGCAGCAGGCGGCACCATGGTTGGCTCGCATTCCGCTCTGCCCCACACTACCGCCGGCGCTGCCGCCGGATCCGGCCCCTTACCCGCCAACACCGCCGCCGCTGCCGCCGCTGCCGCCGCCGTCGCCGCAGCTGCTGTTGCGACTGCTGCTGTTCCTGCCGCGGGTGGTGGCGGCGGAAGGGAAGAGGCAGGGGGAGGAAGGGGCGGCGCAAGAGGACTTGCTGTTGCTGGTGGCGGCGCTATCGGCGCCGCGATTGGCGGCGGCGGTGGCGGCATGGTGATGGGAGCGGCGTTCGCGTTTGGCATGATGGCCATGGGAGGCGCGGCGGCTATGCAAGCATCGGGGGAGGGTTCGACTATTAAGAGGCCAGACGAGTTGGTATACGATGGGGGTGGCGGAGGCGGGAGAGGGGCGGGCGGAGGAGGCGGAGGGGGAGCAGGGACGGATGCGTCCCCGCACCTGCTGACAGCTCCGCTCAGGTCGGTGCAGCGGCAGGAGGAGGATGCGCGCGGGGGAGTGGGGGGCGGGAGGCACGCGGAGAGGAGGGGCGTGGCGGAGATTGGGGGCGCGACAAGTTGGCGCATGAGGGGAGGGGAGGAGGAGGAGGAAGAGGAGAGGGAGATGGAGAAGGAAAGGGAGCGTCGGTTGGAGCACGCGAGGCAAGCGACTCACGGCGGACGCGGCTCCGCTGCTGCCGCTGCGGCGGCGGCGGCAGCGGCGGCGTTGGCGGCGGCTACAGCCGCTGCTGCCGCAGATGGTGTCGCTGCCGCTGCCACAGCCGCCGCTGCAGCCGGCGCAACAGGCGCGGGGCCTACAGGCGCGGCGGCTACGGCCGCGGAGCACCATCTGGTGTCGGGCGCGCGCGTGACAACGGCGCCAACGCTGGCGTCGGAGGAGGCGGCGCTGCAGATCGGCAACGAGAGCGAGGAGGGCGCGACGCCGCGCGAGGAGGAGGACCGCGAGAACGAGGGCACGTCCGCGGAGTCCACGCGCGAGGCGTCCGCGGAAGCCATGCTGCTGGGGGGACTCACGCTCGCGGGGAAAGCCGGCGCGCCGGACGCCGTCGCTGCCGCTGCCGCCGCCGCCGCCGCTGCGGGCGCGGGTGCGGGTGCTGCCGGACCTTTTGGATTGGCTGCCGTGGGTGCTTCCGGTCCTGCAGGAGAAGCGGTTCCGAACCTAGGGGCCGACAGGCTTGGTGGCGTCGGGAGCGGTGCTGCGCGGTGGGGGAGAGCGGGGGGAGGGAGGGGGAGAGGCAAAGGGGTGGCGGAAAAGGTAATGCCTGGTGAGGCGGAGATACGGGACGACGGGGGGGGCGGGGCGGCGCGGAGGGGGGCGGATAAGGATGGCGCAGCTTGCACCGGGCCGAGCAGGAGGGTGGTTGAGGCGGCGCAAGAAGGGTGCGCAGGGGAGGATGTGGAGATGGGGGAGGGGGACGAGGAGGAGAGGTGCGTGAGAGCGGGCGGACAGGCGAGGGAGGGGGAGGAGAAGAGGCGCGGGTGGGATGGGGGCATGGAGGTTGAGGGGGGAGAGGGAGGAGAGCGAGGAGAGGGAGAGGCGGGGCGGATGGGTGAGGGGAAGGAGGCAGGTTCGGGGCTGAGGGAAGGCAAGGGCGGTCGGGATCAGCAAGGGCAGCGGCAAGGGCCGCAGCAAGAGCAGCGCGAGCATCATGCAAAACATCCCTTGAAAGTCTCCGCCTTCTCACGGTATGCCCTGTCTTCTGTCTTCTGTCTTCTGTCTTCTGTCTTCTGTCCTCCCCCGCACACCCCCCTCCATCCCCCTCCGTTTCCCCTCCGCCACTTTTCCCATGCACCTTCCCTCGCCTCCCGCTCCCCAGCCCCTTTATGTTCTCCTCTTGTGTTCGACAGCTGCTCGCGTTTAAAATCATATTGAGAATGAAAAAAAAAAAAACGTTTTAAAACATTGCTTTCTGCATTCGGCGAAGTTGTCCGCTCTCCCACTAATGCTGCCCCTCCATTCCTTGGGATCTTCTTTCCTCCCCTCCCTTCCCCGCTTTTTCCAGCTACCACACGGCCGGCCCAACGACCATCCTAGCAGCCAATCACACCCTGCCACCTGGACCACCGTCAGCTGCACCGCCATCCGCCACAAACGCCGCAGCTGCCGCTGCGGGCGCAGCAGCGCTGCGCGCAGGCGCACATCCGCCGCCCACATTCGCGCACCAACCGCCATGCGACCCGCTGCCACGCGCGCACGCCCTGACAAGCGCACAGAATGCCCTTCCCTTCGCGCCTATCACCCGCCCCCATGACCAGCACGCTTCCGCCTCACAGCAGCATCTGGCGGCGCAGCATGAGCACCAGGCATCGGGTGCAGCAGGCGCAGCGTCGCGCAACGTCTCCTCCGCGCTCACAGCGTCGCAAGGCGCGCTCGCGCATGAGAAGGGCGCGAAAGCGGCGCATGGGGTGCTTGGGGGGAAAGGGGCGCATGGGCGGAAGGGCGCGCATGGGGCGCAAGCTGGCCGAGTGGTGGGCTTCTGTGATGCCGCCGTGGCGGAAGGCCTCTTTCAGAAAGACGCGCGGCCCTTCCCAGCCGCGCTGGGCGCGACGGGCGCTGCTGCTGCCACTGCTGTGCGCGTTGGCCACGTGCTTGTGGGACAAACACAGTTGCAGCAGCAGCAGACGCTGTGTGCCCCGCGCGCAGCCAGTCATAAGCCGCCACCTGTCTCTGCTGCAGCCGCCACTGCCGCTACCACTGCTGCCACTGCTGCTGGTGCGGTGAAGGGTGATGCGTCTGCTGCTTGTGTGTGTGCGGCCGCAGATGCTGCTGCGGCTGCTGCTGCGTCAGGAGCGACGTTTGCAGGGGTGAGCGGCGTCACCACCGCTCGCGCCAGCAGCGCTTTCCCCGCTGCCACTGGAGCCACCGCTTCTGCCGCCGCGTCTGCCGCCGCAGCTGCCACTGCTGCTGCTGCTCGTGCCGCCACTGGCACTGTCACGGTCCCTTGTGCCACCGACGCTCTCCCGTCTGCTACAGCGGCTGTCAGCCTCGAGCCTCCCTCCACTGCAGCAACCTGCTGCTGCTGCTGCTGCTGCCGCTGGTGCGGGTGGATCAGCCCCAGCCCTAACCGCTGCTCTCTTTTCTTCTTCCCCCGCTTGCGCCACCCCTGTGTGCGCTGCGCCTCCTGCTGCTAGCGGCACGCCTGGCGCGCTCTCGCACTCCCCCGCGGATGCGCGGGGCGGGGGGTTGCTGCTGAGCACCTCTGGATGCCCGGGGGGAAGAGAGGGCGGGGGAAGCGGCGGAGGGGGAAGCGGAGGTGGGGGAAGCGGGGGTGGGGGAAGCGGGGGTGGAGGAAGCGGAGGGGGAAGTGGGGGAGGAAGCAGAGGGGAGGGTGGTAGTGGTGGGGGAGGCAGTGGGGGGAACGGAAGCGGTGGTGGGGAGAACGGAAGTGGGGGGAATGGCAGTGGGGGGAATGGGAGTGGGGGGAACGGGAGCGGGGGCAATGGGAGTGGGGGGACGGGAGGACGGATCGGTCTGGTGCGGGTGGGGAGTTGACCGAAGCAACAGCGGCGTCAGTAACGGGAGGTATAGCCGGGGGAGGTCACACCCACCGCAATGGCAGCACCTCTGCTGTCACTCGCCTCCCTCTCGCCCCCTCCGCCCCAACCACCCCTGCTGCCCTTACTGCTCCGGTTGCCCCTGCTGCCGTCCCTGTTGCTCCTCCCATCGCTCCTGCTGCACCCGCTGCTGCTTCTCCTGCAGCTCCATCCCCTGTGGTTCCTACCATTCCTTTCGCCCCTGCAGCCGTTGCTCCGCCTGCTGCTCCTACCGCGGCAGCCACAGCAGCAGCGGCAGCTGCGGGGCTGTTTGCGCGCCCGTTCAACCCGAGTCTTGCTGCGCCCGGGCTGTACCTGCAATCGCCGCTCTACTATGCGGCTGCTGCCGCGGCAGCAGCTGCAGCTGCGGCGGTGGCGGCAGGGGTGCCTCCCCCGTGGACGTGCCCTCCCCCTCCCCCCAGCGCTCAGCGGCCCTCCCAAGCGCAGCAGCAACAAGAACGGCAGCAGCAAGAGCAGCAACAGGATCAGGAGATGCAAGAAGCGCAGCAGCAGGGAGAGGCGAGAGGGCAGCAGCAGCAGCAGATCCAACTGCAGCCTCGCCACCCTCCCCTGCAACTCCCGCCGCCACCACCAGTGCCAATTGGGTCACAGCAACGACAGCAGCAGCAGCAGCAGCAGCAGCAGCCGCCGCAGCAGCAGCAGCCGCCACAGCAGCAGCTGCAATCGCAGCAGCAGCAGCAGCAGCAGCAGCAGCATCCTGAGTGGCGGCCGCGCTTGCTAGAAGCACCCTCCTTCCCAGCATCGCCCTTCCCTGGCGCCACCCGTTTCTCGCCTGTCTCCATGCACAGCCGCTCTCCCCCGCTCGGCTTTCCTCGCCCCCATCCCCACGCGCTCGCGCACCCCCATCCGCACCCGCCCCCGCCCCCGCCCCCGCACTCGTCTCTCCAGCCTCTCGTTTCCCCTCCCCTGCCGCAACTATCGCCGCAAGCGCAGGCTCGGCCTCGAGGGGAGGAAAAAAACGAGTTGAAACCAGGGGTGCATCAGCAACTGGAGCAGCAAGAGCAGCAGCAGCAGCAACAGCTGAAGCAAGAGCAGGGCGAAGAGCAAGGGCAGGAGCAGAAGGAGCAGCGTCTGCAACAACGAGACCAATCGCCGTGCCCCCCCCGTGCCGTAACCCCTCCAGCAGCAATCGCCGATGCACCAAAGGCGGCCACAGCAACAAACGCTGCAGCAGCAAACGAGACAAATGCGTCCGCACCGAGAGAAGCAGCAGGAGACTCCCCTCCGCTTCCGGCAGCGCAGCAGCCGCGGCGGCGTCAACAGACCCACCACCACCTGGCCAAACACCTGCTGCCGCCCCCCCCGCCCCTCCCTGCGGCCGGTTCGTCCCCGGGTCTGAGACCGAAGGAAGCAAGGAGAGAAGTGAGGAGAGAAGCGAGAGAAGTGAAGAGAGAAGGGAAGGACGACGGCGCGGCGGTTGTAAGGGAGGTGGAAGAGCGGAGAATGGACTTGGACGGTGCAGCGGAAGCGGATGAGGAGCGGGAGAGGCGAGAGGAAGGACAAGGGAAGCACGCGCAGCAGGGAGCGGCGGAAGGAGGGAGGGGGAAGGGCGAGGGGAAGGCAGGAGGGGCGGAAATAGCCTGTGCGGAGCGGAAGACTCCTGCGTCACCCAGGGGGCCCGGGCAGCAGGTGAAAGCGGTGCAGCGAGCGCAGCAGCAGGAGAGCCATGGCAAGGTGCGTGTTGTCTCATCCACAGAGGCTCTTCACTGGGTGGAAGAGTCCAAGGCGCTGCTGCAGGAACAGGTGCAGCAGGGACAGCAGGGACAGCAAGGGCAGCAGGGGCAGCGGCAGCAGCAGCAGCATCACCATCACCATAGGGAGCAGCGGCACCACCACCACCATCACCACCACCACCACCGCGGGCACTCCCACCCGTCGTTGCAGCAGCAGCATAGCGTGAGTGTCATGTCCCCTGCTAACCCTGGCGCCGCTGCTGCTGCTGCTGCCGCCGCCGCCGCCGCTGCTGCTGCTGGTGGTGGTAATGGTGCTGATGCGGCAGCAGTGGCTGGTGACGCTGCAGCGGATGCGAAGCGGAATGGAAACGCTAGTGGGAGTCCCGAGGGGGGAGGCTCCAACCCTCACAGCGGGGCTGCTGCTGCTGCTGCTGCTGCAGGGGGAGCAGGCGCGGCAGCAGCAGCGGGCGCAGGTTCGGCAGCTCCTTCAGGACACCACCGAGCCTCGGCCGCAGCTGCGGCCGCCGTGCCTCGAGGCGAGGTTGGGAACGACGGGAGCAGCAACGTGTATGCGAAAGGCGGGGGTGGCGGCGGCGGTGGTGGCTGCGGCGGTGGCGGAGGGGGGAGAAACGCACGGGAAGGGGTGAATAACAGCAGCAGCAGCGGCGGTAATGGCAATGGGGATGGGAATGGCAGCTCGGAATATAATGAGAGTGGGGACACGGGGAGAGACATGGCGGGGAGCGCGCGCGCAGGGAGTGGCGGGCGGAGTTGCAGCGGGCAAGGATCGGGCGGAGGGGGAAGCGGACAGGGGAGTGGCGGGGGCAGCGGAGGCGGGAGGGGAAGCGGGGGCAGCGGAGGCAGTGGGGGGAGTAAACGCGGGGATGCAAGCGCGAATGGGGCGCATGAGTGGAGCAGAACGGGGGGAGGCGCGGGGGGTGGGGGGGGGATACAGGCGCTGTTGTCTTGCGCCAATGGCAGTGCGGTGGGGTCAAAGGACCAGGCGCATGACACTGCGGGCATGACTGGCGCGGGCGGACGCTTCCAGTCCCCCCAACGGGAGAACGGCGGAGGGGGCAGCGGAGGGGAGGGAGGTACTGGCGCGGGGAATGGGATTGAGGGGATGGGGAGTGGGGGAGAAGGCGGAACGGGGGGCAGGGGAGGGGAAGGTAGTGGGGGGGATGGTGGGGGGAGTGGAAACGGAGGGGGTTCGGGAAGGGGAAGTGGTGGGGGAGAGGGAAGTGGAGGGGAGGGGAGCGGAGGGGAGGGGGGAACAGGGGGGCAGGCAATGGGAATGGGAGGCGGGGGGGCGGAGGAGGGGAGGCGGCAGTCAGGGGGGCAGTCAGGGGGGCAGTCAGGGGGGCAGTCAGGGGGGCAGTCAGGGGGGCAGTCAGGGGGGCAGTCAGGGGGGCAGTCAGGGGGGCAGTCAGGGGGGCAGTCAGGGGGGCAGTCAGGGGGGCAGTCAGGGGGGCAGTCAGGGGGGCAGTCAGGGGGGCAGTCAGGGGGGCAGTCAGGGGGGCAGTCAGGGGGGCAGTCAGGGGGGCAGTCAGGGGGGCAGTCAGGGGGGCAGTCAGGGGGGCAGTCAGGGGGGCAGTCAGGGGGGCAGTCAGGGGGGCAGTCAGGGGGGCAGTCAGGGGGGCAGTCAGGGGGGCAGTCAGGGGGGCAGTCAGGGGGGCAGTCAGGGGGGCAGTCAGGGGGGCAGTCAGGGGGGCAGTCAGGGGGGCAGTCAGGGGGGCAGTCAGGGGGGCAGTCAGTGAGGCGCGAGGGGAATGCCATGGTCGGGGAAGGCGGAGAGGGGGGAAGGGATGGCGGAGAGAGGAACAGAGATGGTTCCGCTCCCACCACTGCCGCTGTCGCCGCCGCTGTAGGCGCTGGAGCTAACGGGGAGGCTCAAAGGGGGCTGGATGGGATGAGGGAGAGAGGGAGGGGGAGCGCATCAGAAGCAACAGAGGCGTTGGATGTGGCAGCGAGGGATTTGAAAGGAGAGGGCAGCGGTGGCGAGGCAGAGGGCGCGGAGGGCTGTGTTGGGCGAGAGGAAGGTGATGCTGCGTGTGCGGGTGATGTGGGTGATGTGGGTGGTGTGGTTGGTGCCGCAGGTGTGGTGGGGCGGAAACGAGGCAGAGAGGAGGAGGCAGGGGGTGACGGCATGGCAGGGATGGGTGGACGAGAGGGGGCAGGCAAGAGGCGCGAGTGGCTCACTGAGGGGATAGGCGCAGCAGGAGAGGCGCAGCGGATACAGTCGCAGCAGCAACAAGAAGGCCAAGCGGAAGAGGAGGAGGTGGAGGAGGGGCGAGAGGGTGCGGATGTGCACATGAGAGAGGGTGCGGATGTGCACATGAGAGAGGGTCCTCAGGAGATGCGGCAGGAGGAGGACGGGGAGGAGACGGAGGATGAGAAGGAACAGGAGGAGGGTGGCGAGGAGCGTGGGGAAGGCGGGAGGGAGGAGGCGGGGCAGGAAGAGGGGGCAGCAGGGCTGCTGTCGCTATCCGCCTCTCTCGCTGCACCCGCCAGCACACCTCTCCCTGCACCTCCCGCCATCGCACCTACTGCTGCCGCTGCTGTTGCTGCTGAACGCCGCGGGGGAGAGGCGGCAGAAGGGGGTGATGGGGGAGGGGCGCAAGCAGTGCGCGGGGCGGAAGGGGCGGAAGGGGTGCAAGGTGCATACAGTGCGCAGGGGGCAAGAGGCGGGGAAGGCGCTGGCATTGCAGAGGGGGCAGAGGGCAGTGGAGGGGTGATGAGTCGGCAGGCAGCACGGGAGGCAGCACTCAATAAGTTCCGGCTGAAGCGCAAAGAGAGGAACTTTGAAAAGAAGGTGTGCTTGTACTCTTTGCCATACTTTGCCACACTTTGCCGTTATTTGCCTTTCTTTGCCAGCCCTGGCGCATCCATTAAGAAGAGTCGCCCGCTTGCTTCACTTGAATCCCTGGCTCGCTGTCTGCCCTCCTCAAGCTGTATCGTCTGCAGCTCATGTCCCACCTTCCATCACTTCCCCTTTCTGATGCACCCCTCTCGTCTACCTTCAACAATTGCACCACCCCCCTTCCCCCTCCCCTCTCTTCCTCCACTTCTCCCTCCCTCCCCTGCCGTTCTCCTCCCCCCCCTCTTCTTTTTCTTGCGTCACCTCTCCCCTCCGTCTTGCTCCACCATGTGCAGGTGCGCTACCAGAGTCGCAAGCGACTGGCAGAGCAGCGCCCGCGCTTCAGAGGCCAGTTTGTCCGCCAGCCCGCCCTCCCTCCCACTCCCCCCCCCGCCGCTCCTCCTCCCACTTCCCTCGCTCCTCCCCCCGCTCATCCCACCGCGCTGCAGCAGCACCTGCCTCTCCCACCCGGCGCCACTCCTTCCGTCCATGCGGGGAGGAATCATGGCAGCACGCCCTTCCCCGTGCACCTGCCAGTGATGCACGCGCAAGGCGTCGCAGGAGTGGCCGGAATGGCAGGAGCGCATGTTTCAGGGATGATGGCAGCAGCACCGGCAGGCAGCAACCCCGACCGGACCATGCAGTTCTTTCCCATCGCCCCCTGCCCTGCTGTCGCCACCGCCCCTTCCATTGCCACTGCCCCTCCCTCCGGTCCTCTCCCGCTTGCCCTGAGCAGCCGCGGTCAGGAGAGGGTATTTATGAGCCACAGCAATGGCATCAGTATTGGGAGTTATGGCGCGAGTGGCAGTGCGAGTGCGGGTGGGAGTGGGAGTGGGTGTGGGAATGCGAGTGGGAGTGCGAGTGGGAGGGTTCATGAGAGCAGCTACAGTGCAGCAGTGGCGGATATGAGCTATGGTGCGGCCGTTGCTGATGTCAACGGCCCCGATTCGTCCGGTGGCGCGCCTGCTGCTGCCTTCCTTGCTGCCGCTCCCTCTTGTTGCTGCTGCTGCTGCTGCTGTTGTGGGGGAGGGTGTTGCAGGCTTGGGAAAGAGAGTTTGGGGGGAGAGAGGAGAGAGTTTAGAGGGCAATGGGGTTACCATGTGGCCTAAGAGATGAGATGCTGACTCCTTTGACTACGAGAGGTTTACACCTGGAGGTTTGGCAGGATGACACATGTACAGCTGACACGCTGACACGTGGAGGGACGACAGGTAACAGGTTGATACCTGGCACGAGTGTCAACCTGCTTCTATCTATCGTGGTTTTAATAACTGTTGTTGAGGTCACGACCATCGGCTCTGTGAGCATAGGATGCCTTAGCTACATGGCTAGCATGTGATAGCAGTGCTGTGCTATCCTTTTTGGGGCCTGGCAGGCTCTATGGACACACATATCATGAATTGAGGAGTTGTGGGGAGGGTGATGCTAGGAGGGGATGAGGGGTGGGCTGCATGAGGAGTGTGTAGGGCCTAAGGTCCTCTCCACGCCTTTTTGTAGATACGTGCTGAGCTGTACGCTGAGACTTGAGACACTGTGGGTCTGCTAGAGAAAATATGCATGTATTTATTTGGTTGATAGTATTCGCTGAATTCACAAACATCCGGTTTGGCCGAACCCGACACGTGGGGAAGCTGTGCAATGTTCAACGGGCCAACATCATAGACATGCAAATTATTATGGTAACCCTATTCGATTGTATGCAAAACCGTCGATACCTCAGTTTTGGAGGTAACAATACTAATTTGCATAGGGTTACCACACTAATTTGCATGTCTATGATGTTGGCCCATGTTCAACTGCTTATAACGGGGCAAGTTCTGACATGTCCCCACAGTTTTCACCTCCTTTCTGTTCAGGGAAGGGGATGGGGGGAAGCAGGGAAGGGGATGGGGGGAAGCAGGGAAGGGGATGGGGGGAAGCAGGAAAGGGGATGGGGGGAAGCCGGGAAGGGGATGGGGGGGAGGGAAGGGGATGGGGGGGAGGGAAGGGGATGGGGGGATGCTGGGAGGGGGACGGGGGAAGGAGGGAAGGGGAGGGGGGAAGCAGGGTAGGGGAAGGGGGAAAGCAGGGAAGGGGATGGGGGGGAGCAGGGAAGGGGGTGGGGGAAGCAGGGAAGTGGATGGGGGGAGGTAGGGGAGGGGACGGGGGGAAGCAGGGAAGGGGATGGGGGGAAGCAGGGAAGGGGATGGGGGGAAGCAGGGAAGGGGATGGGGGGAGGCAGGGGAGGGCACGGGCGGAAGGAGGGAAGGGGATGGGGGGAAGCAGGGAAGGGGATGGGGGGAAGCAGGGAAGGGGATGGGGGGAGCAAGTCGGAGGCTGGGGGAAAGCAGCGCAGGGGATACGGGGAAACAGGGAAGAAGGGAAGGGTGTATGTGCGGGTTGGAAGGGGGCGTGACAAGTGTGCGCGATGGGCAGGGCGCAGGGCAGGATGGCGCGGGCAACGACGAGTGGAAGTGAGGGCGACGGGGGGAGAGAGAGACGGGGATTACGAGGGGACGAGCAGCAGGGAGGGCGATGAGACGAAGGGGGGCAACGGGCGGAAGGGAGGGAAAGAGAGCGTGAAGGGGGAAAGAGAGTGAGAAGGGGGAAAGAGAGTGAGAAGGGGGAAAGAGAGTGAGAAGGGGGAAAGAGAGTGAGCAGGGGGGGAGAGAGTGAGCAGGGGGGGAGAGAGTGAGCAGGGGGGGAGAGAGTGAGTATAGGAGTGAGCCGGGAAAACAGGGGCGAGCAGAGGGGGTAAGAGAGCGTGAAGGGGGAAAATGGGTGAGAAATGGGGAGAGTGGGGTTAGAACAAGGGGAGTGAGCAGAGGGAAAGAGAATGAGCAGGGGAAAGAAATTGAGCAGGGGGGAAGCGAGTGAGCAGGGGGAAAGAGAGTGAGCAGGGGGAAAGAGAGTGAGCAGGGGGAAAGAGAGTGAGCAGGAGAGAGTGAAAGGCAATGGGAGGGGAAGTGAAGGTGACGGGTGGGGAAGCGAATGTGACGGGCGGGAAAGCGAGTGCGGCAGGCGTGGAAGGCGACGGGAGGGGGAATCGAAGGCATCGGGGGGGAGAAGTGAAGACGACGGGAGGGGGAAGTGAAGGCGACGGGAGGGGGAAGTGAAGGCGACGGGAAGGGGAAGTGAAGGCGACGGGAGGGGAAGTGAAGGCGACGGGAGGGGAATTGAAGGCGACGGGAGGGGGAAATGAAGGCGACGGGAGGGGAAGTGAAGGCGACGGGAGGGGGAAATGAAGGCGACGGGAGGGGAAGTGAGGGCGACGGGAGGGGGAAGTGAAGGCGACGAGAGGGGGAAGTGAAGGCGACGGGAGGGGGAAATGAAGGCAACGGAAGAGGGGGGGGAGGGGGGGGAGTGAAGGCGACGGGGGGGAAGTGAAGGCGACGGGCGGAGCGAAGGCGACGGGCACGCGACGAGCTGCGGAAGCGAGGGCGACGACGCGGGCGAAAGAGAGCGGAAGCGTGGGAAAGGAAAGCGAGGGCGAGGGGAGGGTCACGTTTGGTCGAACGGTTGCGATTCGATTTTCGCCGCGAGATTACGCTAGTTGCACAATAACTGCATTTCGACACAATAATCTTCATCCAGCGGACACTAGTTTTGCGCATCATCATCGAAATCCGCGCCACCCACATCGTATGGCGCATCTGATCCCTTTTGAGTGAACGCCGATGCCCTGCCCTGTCTACAGGTGTGGTCTATACCTAATTCTCTGCGTGCTATCTCAAACTGTGCACAGTTTGGTATGCTCACGCTTTTCTGGTTGTGGGAAGAACCCCACCCATCGTGGGAAGCGAGAAACTTTTGTCGCAAATTGGTTTCGCGAGTGAAAGTCTCTCGCAGCCCAACCGAACCTCTCCGTGCCTGCCTCCCGAACCTAGTTTTTAGCGTTGACTTCCCTTGAGTAATTCAGGTCTTGGGCCGCAGCATAGGGAATACCAATCTCCTAGAATTCCAGTTTACGGATCTGTCACTGTGCTAGTTAGTGGAAAGCTAGTGCGAGCAGACCAGTCGTGTACGTCGTGCAGCCTCTACCCGCTGCTACTACCATATCCGGCTAGCATCCTCCCCGCTAATCTCGCGGTCGACGCGTAGCCGCCATGGTTCTCGAGGTATGCTCTTATATAGACTCCCGTTGATTGCAATCGTGTTGCAGCCGACACCTGCTCACGTTGACGATCCGTGCTCGCTCTGGCAATTCAGGGTAACCGAAACCTTGCACAGAGTTTCGAAACGCGATAGGCGGCGTCTGAGACACGTGGAGTCTTGGGAGAATTCTTAACTCGTTAGACTCGTTCGACGCATCATACGCGCTAGAGGCTTCAGTCCGCTGTCATCCCACAGCACCCGCAACCCTTTTCCCGTCGCTCCTGATTCATTACCCCCAGGCCACACATCTTCGAGTGGATGCTGTCGGCTCGGCAATCTCTAGGATCCGTGCTCAACTTTTGCGACATCTTGAAAGTCATCTTCGAGTGGCTGCTGTCCGCTCGGCAATCCCTAGGATCCATGCTCACGTTGCTCAAGTGGTGGTCGTTTTTGAAGATGCCTTTTCGTTGTCTCGCCTGATCACTCTCAGGCCACCGTTTCTGCGCATAGACAACTCTGAGTGGATGCGTGTTTGCGCCAACAATCTCCCCCGATCTCCCCCCGCCACCCTCTATCTCTCCGCCGCCCGTAACCCCCCCCAGGCCACGGTGGTGTCCGTGGACAACTGCAAGTGGATGCGTCTTTGGCTCGTCAATCCCGAGAATTCACGCTGACGAGCTGCGCATTTCTGGCAGTGCATTTTCCTGCCTTTTCCCATCTGCCCGTTCCCCCCACTTCAGGCGACGGTGGTGTGCGTAGACAACTCCGAGTGGATGCGGAATGGCGACTACGCGCCGTCGCGCTTCCAGGCGCAGGCCGACGCGATTAATCTCATCTGCGGCGCCAAGACGCAGGTTAGCGAGCGAGCGACGCGGGGAGATTTGTGTGCGATTGAGCATGGACGACTTGTGAGACGTCTCAAACTATGCATGTGCTATCTGCGAAAACGTTAGCACGCGAGACACATGGCAGGTCGCTCAGTTTCATGTCATGAGAGCTCAGTTTCAAGTCATGAGAGCTCAGTTTCATGTCATGAGAGCTCAGTTTCATGTCATGAAAGCTCAGTTTCATGTCAGGAGAGCTCAGTTTCATGTCACGAGAGCTCAGTTTCATGTCACGAGAGCTCAGTTTCATGTCATGAGAGCTCAGTTTCATGTCACGAGAGCTCAGTTTCATGTCACGAGAGCTCAGTTTCATGTCATGTTATTAGAAACCCTGTTGGCATGCCTGAGGCGGGCGCTTCAAATTTTATCGCCCCCCTACACTTGACCCCCCCACTCCTCCCTCCCTTCCCCCCTTCAATTCTTTTCGCCCCTTTCCCCCCTCCCCCCCCCCTCTCTTTCCCTCCTGTGCGCCCGTGCATGGACGACAGTCGAACCCTGAGAACACGGTGGGCATACTGACAATGGCGGGGAAGGGCGTGCGAGTGCTCGTCACGCCCACCGCTGACCTCGGCAAGATCCTCTCCACCATGCACGGTGCGTCACCTGCCCTTATCTGGATTAAATTGACGCACAAGCCATCTTTACCATGCACGGTGCGTCACCTGCCCTTATCTGGATTAAATTGACTCACAAGCCATCTTTACCATGCGTGGTGCGTCACTCGCCCCCATCTGGATTGTCTCACAAGTCGCCTACATCATGGTGCCCCCGTTTGAATTGGCTCACAAGTCATTTCTTCCATGCACGGTGTGTCGCTCATCCTCCTTCCATGGCACTGTTGATACGACGCTAATAAGGTGCAACCGTTCTTACCCCACCCCACCCTTTTGATATTCCCGGTGCATTCTGTGACTACGGGCCGCACCAGGTCTGGAGGTGGGCGGGGACACGAATCTGCTGTCAGGGCTGCAGGTGGCGCAGCTGGCGTTGAAGCACAGGCAGAACAAGAACCAGCGCCAGCGCATCGTTCTCTTTATTGGCAGGTGCGTTGTAAGCTGGTGGGTGTGTTGGAGAGAGCACTAACAGTTGGCTGAAGCACCGGCAGAACAAGAACCAGCGCCAGCGCATCGTGCTCTTCATTGGCAGGTGCATTGTAAGCTGGTGGTGTGTTGCAGAGACAGATGAGTATCTGTTGGCAGGAGCGGTTTCAACCTGAACTGCGTGTGATTCGTCTGGTAGGCTCCTGGCGGGAGCTAGCTACTGACCCCGTGGGTCCGCCCATCACCAACTTCCCCGTTCCCAACCTTCTTCCCCACAAACAACCCGGCACCCGTGCCCCCAGTCCGGTCGCTGCAGATATTGAGACATTAGTGAATGCCGGGAAGCGGCTGAAGAAGAACGACGCGTGCTGGACGTCGTGAGTTCCTTACGAGTGCAGGTCTCACCCGCACCTTTGCACACCCCACCCTCCCATCCCATCCCTTCCACCCCGTGCCCCCAGCCCGGTCGCTGCAGATGTTGAAACACTGGTGAAGGCGGGGAAGAGGCTGAAGAAGAACAACGTGGCTTTGGACGTGGTGAGCTTCGGGTGGGACGGCGAGGACGAGGAGAAGCAGGCGAAGCTGGAGGCGCTGCTGGGCGCCGTCAACAGCAATGACAACTCGCACCTGCTGCACGTGCCGCCCGGCCCTGCCGTGCTCTCCGATGTGCTCATCAGGTGGGTGGTTGGTGTTGACACGCCTGGACAGGTTGTGCTGGGGGCGGGCGCCGTCGACAGCAACGACAACTCGCACCTCCTGCACTGCACGTGCCACCCGGCCCTGCTGTGCTCTCAGACGTGCTCAGAGCGTATTCCTACGGCCTCGTATCAGGCAACCTCGTGTCAGATTCGCGTCGAACCGCACTAAAACGCATCCAACCGCAGTCGAACACATTGAAACGCATTTCACCACGCGAAGCTGATACGAGGTGTATCTGACACGAGTTGTAGGAATACGCTCTCATTAGGTAAGTGGGCGTCCCTATTAGGTGGGTCGCCATGCCTTAGGTGGGTACAGTGCCATCACTCGTCAGTGCTTGTTGTGTGAATCCCCACCCCACCTACCAGTAAACCACGTACGTTTTCACCCTGATTCCCCACCACTTCTCCGTTTCCCGTTTCTTCTCCGCACCTCCGATTCATGCATTGCTCCCACACCTACCCATCACTCACACACGCACTCTCCCTTCACCCCCCACACAGCTCCCCCGTGTTCACAGGAGACGGGGAGGGTGGCAGCGGCTTTGCAGCAGCAGCAGCGGCAGGGGCAGCGGCGGCGGCGGCAGCAGGGGGCGGGGGCCTGGGAGGCGACTTTGACTTTGGCGTTGACCCCAGCGTTGACCCTGAGCTGGCCCTCGCCCTGCGCGTTTCCATGGAGGAGGAGAGAGCCCGCCAGGAGGCCGCTGCTAGGAAGGCCGCAGCTGAGCAGCAGGCAGCTGCTGGTGGTGCTGGGGGTGAGGGAGGGAGTGGAGGGGAGGGTGGGTCGGGAGAGGGGGGGAAGGGGGATGTGGCGATGGGGGAGGGGGAGAAGAAGGCGGAGGAGGGGCGCGCCACTGCTGCCCCTGCTGCTGCTGACGTTGCTATGGTGAGTGGTGGCATGATGGAATGTGGTATAGTACTAGGGAAACAAGTACCGATCCGCATCACTCGCTTATCCTTCTCTCCCCTGTTCATTCGCCTGTTTCTCTGCCCTCTTCCTCCGCTCTGTTCTTGTTCCTAACTTCTTCCTGCCGTCACGCACAACAGGACGATGAGGCAGCGCTGCTGCAGCAGGCACTGGCCATGTCAATGGCAGCAGGGGCGGCAGGAGCGGCTGGAGATGCTGCCATGCTCGATGCCACTGCTGGAGGGGAGGATGCTGAGCTGGCACTCGGTGAGTGGTCCACTTTGTGTACTCCTGGCTTCTTAAGGCGCCTCTTAGTGGCCAGTTTGTTTGTTCGTTTGTTCCCTTTCGTTTCTTTTCCTTTTTGTTAGTAAGACGAGTATTTCGCCCCCCCCCCCCCTTTTTTTTTTACAATGTGCCTTTCCCCCATTTGCCCTTCTTACCACCAGCCCTGCAGCTGTCGATGCAGGAGGCAGCAGAGGAGGGCAAGAAGGAGGCTGCTGCTGCAGCAGCAGGGACAGCAGGTGAAGCACCAGCAGCAGCAGCACCAGCAGTGGCGGCGCCTGGGGACGTGGACATGAGTCAAGTGCTGGGCGATGCCTCCTTTGTCAACTCCATTCTCTCCTCGGTATGCTGTTATCGCACACCCTTGCTCCTCTGCGCATTGCATAAAATATCTATCCCTCACATCACGTCACACCACACTGCACCTTATTTGTCAGCAGGGCGCACATGCATCAGTCACTCCAGGTCTATCTTTTATGCTAAAATTTGCACCTCTGCTTCCCATTGCCCTCTCCCCATTGCTTGCATCTCCCCCATCCCACGCCCCTGCCTCCACCTCTCATCTCCTGCTCTCACCCCTCATCCTATGCTCTCTCGTCTGCTGTTCTCATGTCTCTACCACCCCGTGTACCACCCCATGTGGCCCCCCATGCAGCTGCCAGGGGTGGATCCCAATGACCCCTCAGTGCGAGACGTGCTCGCTTCACTCGCCCCTTCCCAGCCCCCCAAGGTGTGCTCGTTTGCCCTTTGCCCATTGCCAATTGCCCATTGCCCTTTGCTCTTCACCCTGCACCCTTCCCCCTTCACTGCTCTGCACTCACTCGTCCTGGCTTTCTGTGTGATTTGGTCTCGCATGCCTTGCATGCATTCTGCACCGGTTCTTCGCTGTGCATTGTCTGGTAACCGGTACCCTGCTCTCATCGTGCTACAGGGTTCGGAAGAGAAGCCTAAGGAAGACAAGTGATGAGAAAGCTTGGTATAGTTGTCTGATGGTAGTGTAGGTGATGTGCTGTGAGTTTTCTGGGATGCATTGCCGAAGGACCTCTCAAACCAGAACCCCCGGTATGGAACAGTACATACCGTCGCCAGCCAGCTGTCGAGTGGCACGGTGACATTAAATGCTGCCCTGTAACTCAAGCCATGCAAAAAATGCAATCAGTGCCCACTGCACATACATGAGTTTGTACTGAAACTGTGCACACAAGTTTGGTATGGACAACATATGCGGTACCTAAGCAGCAGCCAAACTCGTGTGTACATCCCATCCCAAAACATACGATGTACCGGCAAGTAGAAAAGGCACGCATGGTGCGTACTACCGCATGGTGAGCACCTGCGAAGCAGTCGTGATGCTCGTACCCCAACCAACCGCACATCAGCAGGGGAGCAGGGCAGAGGAGTGTGATGGGTCTTCAGGCACTCTCTTGATGCGGTCTCAAAACAGACTTAAACAGTCTCGATACCGGTTGAGAGCCGTTTTGAGCGGTCTTACTCATTAAGTCGTTCATGTGAGTGTGCATCAGCAGCGGTGCAGGGGGGCAGGGTAGATATCCAGGTACTGGTATCGCCCTGGCTGCTCCGGGTTCCAGTCTGGGGGGGTGGCCGTGTCAGCATCCTCCTGTGCCGCCTCTGTTTCTGTTTCTGGCTCGAGCAAGTCGGGCAGCATCTGAGGCTGCATTGAATACACTATCTCCCCGGCCTCCTGCTCATGAGGGATTTGGACAGACAGTGGGGAGGGGGTGGATGGACAGAAAGGCATTGTATACACACGCTAAAGGTGGAGGACCCTAGTGCTGTTTGAATGAAAAACACCCAAACAACGTTTGACTTCCTCACACTGAGACAAGAGGTGGTTCGTGAGGCGATTCAGAATGGCCTGGTTTCACCTCAGCCCAAAAAGCCCCTAGGCCTAGGACAGCCCATCAAACCCCAGGGACAGCCCATCAAACCCCAGGGACAGCCCATCAAACCCCAGTCCCCAGCTCAGCAGCAGCAGGAGGAAAAGGTGGCACTCACGAGGCCTGAGATGCGGAAGTGCTCCACGAGGTGGTCTGTGAGTTTATCCAGAATGGCCCGATTGCGCCTCAATGCGTCCATTGCCATGCGCTCTGTGAGCTCTATGTTCTGATGGTGACACGGATGGCATGATGGATGGTGCATGAATGCAGAGTTCATGAAACGATGGGGCAATTGATGGGGCAAGGGAAGATGAGGGAGATGAGTGGGGGAGAGTAATAAACAGGTGCAGAGGAGAATGGGGAAGGAGGATGACAGAAGTGAAGGAAGATAAGAACAGGAGAGCAGGAGCAGGAGAGGAGGAGAGGGGGATGCAGCATGTGACTATGGCAGATCTGAAGCGACCCTAATAGCATTGAGATCAAGAAGGGTGACTCACCCACGTGACCTCCCGTGTGAAGATCTCAGACATCTCCAATGACATGGCTGCCACCTGCGTGCATTTTTGAGGCGCCTCAAAGACAGTCTCTCACTCACCCAAGTGAGTTCCCAGTCACCCACGTGGCCTCCCACTCACCCACATGCCCACCCACTCACCCACGTGACCTCCCGTGTGAAGATCTCAGACATCTCTACTGACATGGCTGCCACCTGCGTGCCCGGCCGTGACCACTGGCAGTGGCATGGAAGCGAAAGAAGGAGCAGTGTAGGGGAGGGAAGATGAAGGAGCAGGGATGGGCGGGAGCAGGGATGGGCGGGAGCATGCGCAACTTAAGGGGCATGGGGATGGCATGGTAGGGGCACTAAGCCCAAGGGAATGTTATGCCATCCATTAGATTCAACACTGTACAGAGGATGGGACAGCTACGAGCTACCTCAGATCCCTGAACCCTGATGCAAAGCTCAGAACCCTGACCATGACCGTAAACGTACGGAGGAGGGGATGAGCTCGACTTCATCGGGGAAGCCTGGTGGCTCCATGATGGGGTGCATCGTGACGGGCATCAGCCCAAACCGCGGATTCGCATGGCTGCTCGCTATCTCGCGTGCGATCTGGTGGGGTGCACGTGGGGTGCACGTGGGGTGCACGTGGGGTGCATGGAGGGGGAGAAGAGAGGATAAGACGGGGTGTGAATGGTTTGGATAGGAAGGATTCAAAGACAAACAGGTTAACCGGAAAGACACGCACACTAACCGGAAAAATGCCGTATTCTGACTCTTCACACCTGGGAGAGCTTCATGAGGTCATCCTGGCCGTTATCCGTGACATGGTCATCACCAAACACAAGGCGCTCGGCACACATGCCGCCATGCGCCACCACCATCTGCATGTGCAGGTACCCGATGCTCGTGCTGCCCTTGAGTAGCATCTCCTGCCGTGGATAGAACACCGACAGCGCCCGCTCCTGGAAATGCACAGGGGGAGGTGCGTGGGAGAGGAGAGGGGAAACAGGCGAGGAGAGTTGGAGAAAAGGAGAAGTGAGCGTTTTGGGGGAGATGCGAGCTGTGTGAAGCAGAACGGTAATTGGTTTTTCTGGAATCGCTCATGTCCACCTGAGATACCACCAGCACACCAGTAGTTCTACCTGACCGCCTGGCGACTACCTGCCTCAACACACCTGGCCGCCTAATAACCCACCTAGCCGCCTGATAACCCACCTGGCCGCCTGATAACCCACCAGGCCGCCTGATAACCCACCTGGCCGCCTGATAACCCACCTGGCCGCCTGATTATCCACCTGGCCGCCTGATAACCCACCTGGCCGCCTGATAACCCACCTGGCCGCCTGATAACCCACCTGGCCGCCTGACAACCCACCTGGCCGCCTGATAACCCACCTGGCCGCCTGATAACCCACCTGGCCGCCTGATAACCCACCTGGCCGCCTGACAACCCACCTGGCCGCCTGATAACCCACCTGGCCGCCTGATAACCCACCTGGCCGCCTGATAACCCACCTGGCCGCCTGACAACCCACCTGGCCGCCTGATAACCCACCTGGCCGCCTGATAACCCACCTGGCCGCCTGATAACCCACCTGGCCGCCTGACAACCCACCTGGCCGCCTGATAACCCACCTGGCCGCCTGATAACCCACCTGGCCGCCTGATAACCCACCTGGCCGCCTGATAACCCACCTGGCCGCCTGATAACCCACCTGGCCGCCTGATAACTCACCTGGCCGCCTGATAACCCACCTGGCCGCCTGATAACCCACCTGGCCGCCTGATAACCCACCTGGCCGCCGGGGAGGATGTGGGTGAAGGCGTGCCAGTCGAAGCAGGGGAAGAGGTGTGAGAGCAGCACGTGCCCCGCCTCGTGCACCGCCAACACCCTCCTCACCTCTGCTGGTACCTGTACGGCAGGGCAGGAAAGCGATGCGATGCGGGGTGTTGAAGGAAGATGGTACTGGCATGGGCATACGTGATGCATGGTGGGGTGGGGTGTTTGCCTGGATGGATGGCCCCATGCATCATGGTGTGGGATTGGCTGGATGGAATGTATGAGCGTGGCACACACATACTAACACTCGCTCACTCACTCACTCACTCACTCACATGCACACACACATGCTAGACGTGCCATCCAAAGGGCACACATCCACCTTGGCAACAGCCATTGCTGCTCATCATCAATCATGGAGACCCAAGGCTCTCCAACAGCTGCGCTTGTCCAGCGCTGCCACTCACACACTCACAAGCACCACATGCCATGCCAAGCCAAGCATGCAACACCCACACACTCACCTTAGCGAACAACCTCTGTTGCTCGTCATCGGTCATGGAGATCCCGAGGCTCTCGAAGAGCTGCTTGTCCAGCGCTGCCACCACGTCACCCTGCTCGATCACTGTGTGTCCGCGCCTCACCGCCATGACGCCTCGTTCACCAGATTGCGAATGTCGGCCCCAGAGAAACCTATCGTGCGGAAGGCCACCTGGAGGTAGGGGTGTGAAGAGGGGGAGGGGTGTGAAGAGGGGGAGAGGTGTGAAGAGGGGGAGAGGTGTGAAGAGGGGGAGAGGTGTGCGGGTTGTGTGTGTGCAGCACGTACACAGCACCGCTCCTCACCGCCATGATGCCCGCCTCGTTCACCAGATTGCGGATGTCTGCGCCTGAGAAGCCGATGGTGCGGAAGGTCACCTGTTATAAGGGATGTAGGGGAGGGGTAGGATAGTTGGGAGAGGGGTGTAGGGAGAGGGATGGGTTGTGCCCGTGCCGCACCGCACCGCCATGATGCCCGCCGCGTTGACCAGATTGTGGATGTCTGCTCCTGACAAGCCGTTGGTGCAGAAGACCAGCTGATAGAAGGGGTAGGAAGAGAGGGATGGGAGATTCGCGGGACGGATGGTTGTGATGTCACTGTGTGCCCGCGCCTCACCGCCATGATTGCGGATGTCCGCTCCTGAGAGAGAACCTTAACGTGCGGAGGGCAAACACACTGTGTGTGCCCTAACCTGCTGCATGGGTACCATTGCACCCCTGGGCTCTTCTACTCTCCAACCACCCAGAAATCACAAACTACAAAGAACAGTGCACAACATACAACTCACAAATCACATCTCACAAATAATCACAAGTCACAGATCACAAATAATCACAAGTCACATATCACAAATAATCACAAGTCACATATCACGAATAATCACAAGTCACATATCACAAATAATCACAAGTCACAGAGCACAGAGCACCCACCTTGGAGAAGTCCACCGATGGCGCCAGCAAGCGGTTCCTGGAGTGAACACCAAAGATGGCGATGCGCTGCTCCTCTGAGGGAAGCCCCACGTGGATCTCTCGGTCGATGCGCCCCGCCTTGGTCAGCCCCTCGTCCAACTCGTCTGGCCGGTTCGTGGCTGCGATCAGGATCACTGCCTGGCGCAGAGAAAAGCGGTCCACATCCGTGTGCTCCTCCCTGGTTGAACAGGGAGAGAAGGGGGGGCGGGGGGTGTGATGGATGGATGGATGGGTGCGTCTTGGTGAGCTCCTCGTCCGTCCAGCTCGTCCGGTCGGTTCGTGGCCGCTATCAGGATCACCGCCTGGCGCAGAGAGAAGCGGTCCACGTCTGTGTGCTCCTCTCTGGTGGGTTGGGGGGAGAGAGGATGTGGGTGGGTGGGGGGTGGATTTATGAGTGTTGATGGATGGATGGGTGCGCCCTGCCTTGGTGATCCTCTCGTCCAACTCATCAGGGCGGTTGGTGGCCGCTGTCAAGATAATTGCCTGGCGCAGCGGGAAGCGGTCCACGTCTGTGTGCTCCTCTCTGGTTGCACGGCAGGGTTCGAATGGACGGGTGTGGGATTGAATGTGGCCGGTAGCAGTTGGATTGGATGGATGTGGTAAAAAGAAAAATGAACTCTCCTTGCACATTTCGTAAGATGGAACAGCAGTCTCAGCTCAGCTGACCCACTTGCAATCCTTCACTCCCTAACCTGCTACCTTTTACTCACTCACTGTCACCACTCGCTCTCACTCAACATTCACCCTTCTCCCTTATCCCCCCCCACGCCCACTCACTCGCCGTCCAGCACTGCGAGGAACTCCTCATACACGTCGCGCCATGTAGACTAGACGAGCAGCAGTCTCCAAGAAACTTGTACAAAAGCAAAACACAGTCAGTAGCCCCCCCCCCCCCTCCCCCCCCCCCGGGCACTCACTCGCCGTCCAGCTCTGCAAGGAATTCCTCATATACGTCGCGCCTCTCAGGGTCCTTGAGTACGCTCTTGCCCGCCAGGGCGTCAATCTCGTCCACAAACAGGAACGACGGCGCCTGGTGTAATGGCAAGTGAGAGAAGACGGGGGGAAAGGTGGGGGGCACACCAGTTTAAGCCTTTTGGGGCGCCTGGAAAGACCTCTTTGGGTCCTTGAGCACGCTCTTCCCTGCCAGTGCATCAATCTCGTCCACAAACAGAAATGACGGCGCCTGGCAGGATGGTGTGGGTGAGAGGAGAGGGGGCAGAGGTGAAAAAGGGCGTACGAGATGAGAGGGGGCAGAGGTGAAATAGAGCAGAGCGTACGAGATGAGAGGGGGCAGAGGGTAAAAAGAGCAGAGCGTACGAGATGAGAGGGGGCAGAGGGTAAAAAGAGCAGAGCGTACGAGATGAGAGGGGGCAGAGGGGAAAAAGGGCGTACGAGATGACGTGAGATGGCCCATTTCTAGGGTTGTGCCTTCCAGCGCGTTAATCTGAGTCCCTTTGACTCTTCAATCCCGCCCCCCCATTGACTCACATTGGCGCGAGCAGTGAAGAAGATGTTGAACACCTTGTCCGGCCCACTCTCTGACGTGGAGTCAACAAACTCGGCTCCCGACGTGAACACAAACAGTGAGCACACATTCCCCAACGTGTGAACACAGACGGTGAGCACACAGACTCCAGACCCCTCCCCCCAACCTTTAGACTCACATTTGCGCGAGCAGTGAAGAAGATGTTGAACACCTTGTCAAGGCCACTCTCTGACGTGGAGTCAACAAACTCCGCCCCCGACGTGAACACAAATGGCAGCCCACACTCGCGCGCAATGGACCGCGCCAGCAGCGTCTTGCCCGTGCCTGGTGGCCCGCTGATCAGAATGCCCTGAGGGGAGGGAGGGTGTGGTGGGAGGAGAGGGGCGTGATTCCAATTTTGAGAGATTTCACATGTGATGTGATACCCCCTTTTGAGATGTGATGTGATACCCCCTTTTGAGATGTGATGTGATACCCCCTTTTGAGATGTGATGTGATACCCCCTTTTGAGATGTGATGTGATACCCCCTTTTGAGATGTGATGTGATACCCCCTTTTGAGATGTGATGTGATACCCCCTTTTGAGATGTGATGTGATACCCCCTTTTGAGATGTGATGGGATACCCCCTTTTGAAATGTGATGTGATACCCCCTTTTGAGATGTGATGTGATACCCCCTTTTGAGATGTGATGTGATACCCCCTTTTGAGATGTGATGTGATACCCCCTTTTGAGATGTGATGTGATACCCCCTTTTAAGATGTGATGTGATACCCCATTTTGAGATGTGATGGGATACCCCCTTTTGAAATGTGATGTGATACCCCCTTTTGAGATGTGATGTGATACCCCCTTTTGAGATGTGATGTGATACCCCCTTTTGAGATGTGATGTGATACCCCCTTTTGAGATGTGATGGGATACCCCCTTTTGAAATGTGATGTGATACCCCCTTTTGAGATGTGATGTGATACCCCCTTTTGAGATGTGATGTGATACCCCCTTTTGAGATGTGATGTGATACCCCCTTTTGAGATGTGATGTGATACCCCCTTTTAAGATGTGATGTGATACCCCATTTTGAGATGTGATGGGATACCCCCTTTTGAAATGTGATGTGATACCCCCTTTTGAGATGTGATGTGATACCCCCTTTTGAGATGTGATGTGATACCCCCTTTTGAGATGTGATGTGATACCCCCTTTTGAGATGTGATGTGATACCCCCTTTTAAGATGTGATGTGATACCCCCTTTTGAGATGTGATGGGATACCCCCTTTTGAGATGTGATGTGATACCCCCTTTTAAGATGTGATGTGATACCCCCTTTTGAGATGTGATGTGATACCCCCTTTTGAGATGTGATGTGATACCCCCTTTTGAGATGTGATGTGATACCCCCTTTTGAGATGTGATGTGATACCCCCTTTTGAGAATTCTCAAAAGTGATTCCCAGATGTGATGTGATACCCCCTTTTGAGTTATCTCAAAAGTGATTCCCAAATGTGATGTGATACCCCCTTTTGAGAATTCTCAAAAGTGATTCCCATCACCTCCTGCAGCACACCATCACCTCCTGCAGCACACCATCACCTCCTGCAGCACACCATCACCTCCTGCGGCCATGGGGTCGCGCATGTACGCCATGACCTCTTCCAGCAGCCCGCTTAACCCCATCCCCTGCACTCACTCTCGGCAGTTTGATGCCCTGCGAGTGGTACAGCATGGGGTCGCGCATGTACGCCATGACCTCCTCCAGCACCTCCCATATGTCATCCGCCATCACCACATCGTCGTATGCACTGCGCTGCCCCTCCCTGTGCACGTCCTCGGGCTGGGGCAGGGTGGCAGAGGGGAAGACGGAAGAAGGGGAGGAGGGGCGGTGAGAGACGGAGAACAGGAGAGGGGAAGAGGGTGACTTCACATGCCATCCGCCATCACCACGTCGTCGTATGCGCTGCGCTGCCCCTCCCTGTGCACGTCCTCGGGCTGCGAAAGAAGGGGAATCCAGAAAAGTACGGGAGGTGCAGGGGAATGGAGAGAATGTGCCCGAGGAGAATACGGGAGAGATGAGGTCAGGACAAGGAGAAAGAGTAGAATCAGGAGGAAGAGGAGGACGAGAACAAGTGCAGATAGCACCTACCAGAAGCAGCTGTGAGCGGTCCATGTATATGTAATCGTGGATCTTCTCGTCCACCCGCCGCTTGAAGACAATCTGCGCCGCCCCGATGCCGCCCAGGAGCAGCAGCGAGGGCAGCAGGGCGGCCACCCCGCGCAGGAAGAAGAGGCGCGAGCGCGGCAGCATGTCCACGTTGACCCCCTTGAGCAGCAGCGAGGGGTACAGGAAGGGGTCGATTGGGATGTCCACCTGGCGGGGTGTGGTGGGTTGCAGACAAAGGGATTGACGGGCTTGGATTGCGGGGCTAAACCTATGTTTAGAGACACGAGGTGCCCACAGAGGGGGGGCTGAGTGGCTTGGGCTCGGGTTGAGGAGCCACAGGTATGTCCACAGACACTGGGCTAGCCCACAAGGGGGCACCATGTCGACACTGACACCCTTGAGCAGCAGCGAGGGGTAGAGGAAGGGGAAGATTGGGATGTCCACCTGACAGGGGTGCATGGATTAGGGGTGAGTGGGGGATAAGGGGCTTGGGTTTAGGGCTAGAGCTCTGATTAGAGGCGATGAGGTGCCCACAAGGAGGCAGCATGTCCACATTGACCCCCTTGAGCAGCAGCGAGGGGTACAGGAAGGGGTCGAGGGGGATATCCACCTGGCGGGGTGCACAGATGCACGGACAGGGTTCAGAAGTAAGGGGTGAGTGGCTTGGGCTTGGGTTCAGGAGCCGCAGGTATGTCGACAAACACTGGGCCCACAAGGGGGCACCATGTCGACAGTGACCCCCTTCAGCAGCAGCGAGGGGTAGAGGAAGGGGAAGATTGGGATGTCCACCTAACGTTGCCGTGTGTTGCAGAGGAGCACAAATAAGGATTCAGGAGTGACGGTTGAGTGGCTGGGTTTGGGACTGGAGCTGCAGTCCCAGCTTGAGGACAGAAGCTTGGCAACCTCCAGTTCTCAACGCTGCACCGCGCGCTCATATGCTGCACGGCCCGCTCATACTCTGCAGCCACACGTACAACATGCATGATCGGTACTTCCACCACCCACTGCCATGAACGCCCATCCCCCACCCCTCCTCTACCGCATCTCTCCCCCTCCTCACCCCTTTCAAAACACCTTGCAGACCCCACACATACCCCCTCCCCCTCCCCAGGTTCTCACCTTGAACTCAGCAGGAAACCCTTCCTTCATGGTGACGTACAGCCGCCGCATGTCAGCAGTGAAAACCGCCGCGTCCACCTCGTTGGTCTGTATCTTGTGCAGCAGCCACACGTACGGCATGCCCGGTCGGTACTTCCACCACCGCCGCTGCAGCCACACTGCCGGGCTGTCCGCCTCGCCCTCCCCCCGCGCCCGCCTCGCCATCTCCTCCTCCTGCTGCGCCTGAATCAGATCCCAATCATACACGTACTCGTAGCTGGGGTAGAGAGTGGCGTGCGGTGTGGGGAGAAGAAGCGGGTGGGCAGGGGCAGAAAGAAGGGGATAGGCAGGGGGAAAGGAAGAAGCTGCATTTAGCGGCGCCTTTAACCCATCTCCTCCTCCTGCTGCGCCTGAATCAGATCCCAATGGCGCACATACTCGTAGCTGGGAGGAAGGAGAGGGGAAGGAAGGGAAAACTGGTTGGCAGGAGGAGAAAATGAGTTGGCAGGGGGGAATAGAATCGACTCGTCTCTCCTCCTCCTGCTGATTCTGAATCGGATCCCAGTCATACATGTACTCGTAGCTGGGAGGAGGGGGAGGTGGGGGGAAAGGATGTGGGCTCAATCAATCAGTGACGCAGCCCTCCCCCAGAGGAACTCTCACAGGCTGCTGGCTTCTTCAACAGGTCCTTGAAAAGTCGCCCTCCACCACACCACCACCGCCTGCTGACCCACAGGCTCCCAGTCATCACGAGTCCACAGGCTCCCAGTCATCACGAGTCCACAGGCTCCCAGTCATCACGAGTCCACAGGCTCCCAGTCATCACGAGTCCACAGGCTCCCAGTCATCACGAGTCCACAGGCTCCCAGTCATCACGAGTCCACAGGCTCCCAGTCATCACGAGTCCACAGGCTCCCAGTCATCACGAGTCCACAGGCTCCCAGTCATCACGAGTCCACAGGCTCCCAGTCATCACGAGTCCACAGGCTCCCAGTCATCACGAGTCCACAGGCTCCCAGTCATCACGAGTCCACAGGCTCCCAGTCATCACGAGTCCACAGGCTCCCAGTCATCACGAGTCCACAGGCTCCCAGTCATCACGAGTCCACAGGCTCCCAGTCATCACGAGTCCACAGGCTCCCAGTCATCATGAGTCCACAGGCTCCCAGTCATCACGAGTCCACAGGCTCCCAGTCATCACGAGTCCACAGGCTCCCAGTCATCACGAGTCCACAGGCTCCCAGTCATCACGAGTCCACAGGCTCCCAGTCATCACGAGTCCACAGGCTCCCAGTCATCACGAGTCCACAGGCTCCCAGTCATCACGAGTCCACAGGCTCCCAGTCATCACGAGTCCACAGGCTCCCAGTCATCACGAGTCCACAGGCTCCCAGTCATCACGAGTCCACAGGCTCCCAGTCATCACGAGTCCACAGGCTCCCAGTCATCACGAGTCCACAGGCTCCCAGTCATCACGAGTCCACAGGCTCCCAGTCATCACGAGTCCACAGGCTCCCAGTCATCACGAGTCCACAGGCTCCCAGTCATCACGAGTCCCCAAGTCAGATAAAATGGGAGCAATCAGCCAAGGAGTTCTCTCCCACAGAGACTCTAACCAGCTAGTTCTCCCATGAGACCTGTTCGGTAAAGCAGTGTGCTCACCGGCTGGACGGCTCTTCAAACAGGTCCTTGATATCGCCCTCCGTCACTGCCTCCTCCCACCGCTGCAACCGCTCCCTCCACCCGCCCTTGCTGCTGCTGCTGCTGCTGCTGCTGCTGCTGCTCGCCGTGCTGCTGCTAGTGATGGCGGTGGTGCTCGAAGCACCAGCAGAAGCAGAATCAGCTGCAGCGGTCGTGGCACTGCTGCTGGTAGCACCAGAAACATCACTGCCACGTGTCAGCAGCCCAGTGGCCGAGGATCGGTCCAGATCGCCCTCGTGCTGCCACGCGGTCTCGCCCACAAAGGAAGGGTCCTTCTCCCACCGCCCGTCACGGTCCATCCTCCACTTCACCACTGATAGCCCTGGTGGCGCATGGGCCCTCCACCGCTGCTCACGCACTCTGAGGGAGGGGGCGAGATGGAGCGAGAGAGAGGAAGGTATGGAGGGAAGGGAAGGAAAGAAGGGAGGGGAGACGTGAGGGGAGAGCAGGCGGGGTGGTTGAGGGGAGAGCAGGCGGGGTGGTTGAGGGGAGAAGATATGGGGCAGTGGATGGCAGTGGCGGGGCATCACCCATCCACTGCCCGTCGCGCTCCATCCTCCATTTCACCACCAATAATCCTGGCGGGGCCTGCACCGCTGCTCGCGCACGCACGCTATATATATCTGTTTCTCCCTACCGCTCTTCACCCCATCCCATCTCTCCCCCCTCTCCCACCTTCCTCCCTTGTTGTGCCCCGTGTTCCCTTCACCCTCCCTCCCTCCCCAACCGCCGTGTGACTCACAGGCGGACGTTTTCAGGGGTGGGTTCTGGGATGGCAAACTCCAAAAAAACCACTCCCTATCTCCTTGCACCCATACATATCTCCGCCCCTTGCCCAACCGCAGTGTGACTCACAGGCGGACGTTTTCAGGGGTGGGTTCTGGGATGGCAAACTCCAAAAACCGCTCCACCGAGGCCGGCCGGCTCGCCAGCCTGGCAGCTACAGTGCGGCCCGCCGCCCGGCAGAAGACGACTGTAGCAGCGAGGTAGAGTGCCGCTACAGCCCACCGTAGCACCGTCCATGACTGGGGGTTCTGTCGCATGACCCCATGAATGCCCAGGCAGAGGAGGGAAGGTGGAAGTCAGGGAGAGTGAGTGGGAGTGGGGGGTCAGGGGGGATTAGAAGTAAGGGGAAAGGAGGAGGGAAAGGGGGGGAGGCAATGGAGGAATTAGACGGACCTAAACGTTTATAGTATGGTATGGTCTGGAGGGGAGGGGGAATGGAGGTGGCGGGGAGGTGGGGGAAGAAGGGTATAGGGGATCTCGGTTGCACGAGAATCGCTGTAGAGCAACATGGAGCGGGAAAACCCTGAACCCTGATTCCCCTCTAGCAACAATGCTGTGTCCTTGAGCGTTCCGCCTTCCGCGGTTTTATGCCAATTCCCCAGAGAATTCTCTGCCACGTCACTCACTTTCCATTGGTCCACTTGGTGCCACCGCTTCGCAGACAGCAGCTTTGGAAGGCCGCGCCGCTTCACTGCTGCTGCTTGCTCACGGGCAGACCCGAAAATGTTTTCTACTGCCCCGATCACGGCTGCTCGGATCGCTGCAAGCAGAATCTGCGCGTCGCGGACGTCCGTTCTAAACTCGTCCTTAATATCCTCCACTACCCCGTCCAGCGACTTCGCTTTAAAGAAGCTCCCTCCGGCTCCTGAACTGGCATTACTATTGCCGTCACACTGTGCATCTCCGCGATCCTCGCCGCTTCCGCCGCCGGCTTTTGCGGCGCGGCACGGGGATCCTACCGGCCGGGAAACTCGGAGAAGGCGAGGGGAGCCGGCGAAACCAGGGGAGAGGCGATGAAGGAAGGAGGAGGTCAACGGAACACGGGGTCCCGATTGTCGCTGACACGTGATTGCACGTCCACGTGGCGCGCGGAGAAGCGAACTTGCTGCTAGTGCGCTGTTACCTATTGTGGACATTGTCGTTAGTGGACGCTCTTGGCGGCGGGAAACGCGTGAATCAAAGTAATCGGGACGAAGAAGGGATATGGCAGGCCGAGTGGTTGAATCGAGCCGCAGAGACGTGGCCATAAGCTTCTCGACTATCGACTGATTCACACCGTCAAACCAGGCGCCGCGCTGACATTCGTGCAGCAGCTCGGCGCAGCCTTATCGGGCAAACATCCAATCCAACACGAGCGTTTGAACTGGATAGCGCATGCACTGAGCAGGGCCGCAGCGATGAAACGAGCTTTCCCGAAAACTGTAACAATTCGTCGTGGCGCGAGGTTGGTGAAGTTGCCTCTCTAAGAAATGTTATGACATCCACATCTCTCGGTACACCCATACACTGATTTCACTTTGTTGTAGCGTTGCAAGCAGGTGCAAAACTAGGGTGTGTATCTGTCTGGTTGTGCTTCTGCTGCAGCCTCCATGCATCACGATACAGCTTCACAAGCAATATCTGCACACAAAAACACATACGATAAGCAGTGGATGTAGAAAAATGAGCTCATGCGCATCTCCACATCTTATGCTAACAAATGAGCGACAATTTGCTAGCATATATCAAGCTCCACAACCATTTCAACGAAGAATATAAGCCATAAAATTAAAGTACCTGCAGGAGTGTGTCAACGGCATCGTCCCCCTCCATGCCCTCCAAATCCGCCACCCACTCCCCCACCACCTTCCCCTGCGCCCTCTGCCGCCCCACCTCCAGCAGCACTGCCGACCGGTAGAACCACCGCATCCAGACAAGGCTCGCCGCCCGCTGCATGGCCCGCACTTGGCGGGATGAGAAGGAGCTGAGAATGGTGATGAGGTTGGGAATGTCGGCTTCTGGAATTCGCACTGTGAACGATGGGTAGTCCAGGAAATTCTCAAAGGGCAGCTCTATGCCATCCTGCCATGCCGTGTCCATGCCATAAGGACCCCACACCCATGCCATGCCACACCCATGCCATGCCAGATCCCATACAGTGCAATACCCCACGCATTGCAGCAGGAGGGAAAAGATATGGAATAGGCACCTTTCTTCAGCCAAATGGAGGCGGCGGCCCACGGGGAAGCAAAGCAAGGGGTTTCTAGTGGTTGGAGATGAATGAAGTGGGCAGGGCAGGGCAGGGCAGGGCAGGGAACCTGGATGATGCAGGGGATGCAGCCGTGCAGCAGACTGTCCTCCATGCGCGCACTGAAGCCATCCCCCGGGAACACCCCACAGAAGCGCGCCTGTGATAGCTGTGTTAGGAAGAGTGAGGGGAAAGAGGGGCCGTGGGGAAGGAGACGGGGAGGGCGGGAAAGGGGGAAGGAAGAAGTGGGAGCGAGAGAGGGCAAAAAAGGGGTGGGGGGTGAGAAAGGGGTGGGAGGGGAAATGGGGAGGGGAAGAGTCCCACAGGACCATCTTCTTTCCAGCTACTGCTCACAGTCAGACACCACTCTCTCTCGGGCCCCTCTGCCCCCTCCACCCCCTCTGCCCCTCCTACTCCACCCCACCTGCTGGGCATAGTCAGGGACGGGCCCCGGCAGCATGAGCACGTCGGGGTGGGACAGCAGCCCCACGTGGCCCTCTCCCTCCTAGCTACTTATCACAGTCAGACACCACTCTCCCTCTGCCCCCGCTGTCCCCCACCTGCTGGGCATAGTCAGGAACGGATCCTGGCAGCACGAGGACGTCGGGGTGAGACAGCAGCCCCACATTGCCGTGGCGGTTGGGCTGCGATGCAAAGTAAACCGCCACTCGCTGCCGGATGCCCATGCTGTAGCTGCAGTGGGCATTGGGTGGCAGGGGGAGCAGGAAGGGGGAAGGGGGAGGGGAAGAAACAGGGGGGCCACTCTGAGGCGAAGTAAAGTGCCACTCGCTGATGCATATCCATGCTGTAGCTGCAGTGAGTGTTGGGGGGCAGGGGGAGGGGGGAGGGGAAAAGGGGAGTGGGAGGGGGGGAGGGAGGGTGATGAGAAGACTTTGATGCAAAGTCGAGCGCCACTTGCTGCCCTCTCAACTGGCCTTCTCTGCCTGTTCTCATGCGAGGGCTCTTGACTTCACTTGAGCAAGTGTATCTTGCCGTTTGAGTCGACTCAAGAGCAAGTGCGGCTATTGCAGCTCTCATGCATGGCAAGGCCCATGCATACTTGGCCTCGGGGCGGCCGTTGGAGAAGTTGAGACCCAAGTTGCCTCCGAAGAAGAACAGCCGCGGCCGCTGCTCCACTGGACTGCCATGGCAGGCATGGGGAAGGGTAGAGCATGGGGAAGGGTAGAGCATGGGGAAGGGTAGAGCATGGGGCCGAGTGATTGCTGCGAGGGGTTGATTTTGCGAGTGCCTAAGCAAGAGGGCAGCGGGCAATGGAAATGGTCTAGAGAGAGACGTTATTCCTACACATGGTCAACCAGGGAAATGAAAAGAGGGGACAAGAACGAGAAGACAGAAAGGAAAGGCAACGAAAGGCAGTGAAACAGAAACGAAAAGAAGAGGGAAGATAATAAAAGACCACCACAGTTTCACATACGCCTCCCCGCTTCTGCTTATCGCTGTCCCTCTCATTGCCTACTTGAGCCACAGCCGCCCCCGCAGGTGCTCCGCATTGGGCGGCTTGAAGGCCGGCATGACCACGTCCTTTAGCGGGTCGAAGCACGGGTGCCGCCCGCGCAGCGCTGGCGGGATGTCGTGCCAGCTGTCGAGCAGATAGGCGGTGGTGGAGTGGTTGTGGGCGGCCATGGTGTTGCCCCAGTGGGATAGCATGATGCCCCTGAACACATCTTTAGGGGCGCTGCATGCCCCTTCATCCCAGGGGAAGGTCTGCAGCAAGGGATGATAAAGGTGATCGAGGGAGCAACAGAGGTGGGTGATGGAGTGGTTATGGGCGGCCATGGTGTTGGCCCAGTGCGACAGCATGATGCCCTGATGCACTGCAGGCCCCTTCATCCCAGGGGAAGGTCTGTAAGCATGGCAGATAGAGAAAGGGAGATGGGACACAATGTTTGTGGGCGGCTATACTGTTACCCCCAGTGCGACAGCATGATGCCCTGATGCACTGCGGGCCCCTTCATCCCAGGGGAAGATCTGCTGCAGCAGGAATGAGAGACATCACAGAGGCAGCATGTGCAGGGTAATTCGGCTGAGAGCGCAGGGTGAGTGGAATGACCCGTGAGTCGCGGAAAAATTACCTCCACTTGCATTGGAAGGACAGGCAGTGTCATACCCACTTGTTCTGAGATGTGGGTACATCCCCCACACTTGTCCCACACACTCAAGGGTGTGTCTCAAGGCTCACTCAAGGCTCACTCACCCAGATGTGGTCGCGGCCGTCCATTCGGTTCCAGTAGGGGTAGGCAGATCGGATGTGCTCCAGGGTTCGCTGGTAGTGGTCCGCTGCGAAATACGACCGCCGGTTCTTGAACTTGCCCTGTGAGGGGAAGAGGTGGGGGTTGGGGTGTGGTCGTCGGCCCATGCGGTGTTGCATGCACGGGCATCCCATGCAAATCCATGGCACACCGCAAAGGCCCACACATACACCTAAACATTAGTGTACTGTACATGCCATGGAATACCATAATAAACCTATCACAACAGCAGCACAACCATGCACGCACCTGCATAGAAGTGGCAGGAGAGTCGTCAGCGCGGGCAGTGATGCAACCACCCATGACGGGCACAAAGAAATAGTCGGCTGCTGATGCATTGGTGGTGCGGTGGGGGCTGGCTAGGAGCGACTCAAGCACTGCCACCTGACTGATGGGAGGGGAGGGACGGGAGAGAGAGGGGGGGAACAAAGGGAGGGAAGAGCGCCCCTTTATCCCATGATGGGCACAAAGAAATAGTCTGCCGCCGATGCATTGGTGATGCGGGGGGGACTGGCTAGCAGCGACTCGAAGACGGCCACCTGGCTGATGGGAGGGGAGGGACGGGGGGCAGAAAATATAACATCCACCCGTCACGGGCACAGGGGATGACCAGTTGGTTGGTGGTAGTGTGTGGAGTGGGCGACCAGTGACTCCCAGACTGTCAACTCACTAATGGGACATGCAATGGGAGAGGGGCTGTGGAGACGCCGAGGAGAGGGGCATGGAGACTGGACTACTGGACTACTGGACTACTGGACTACTGGACTACTGGACTACTGGAATACTGGACTACTGGACTACTGGACTACTGGACTACCAGACACTGGACTGCTGGACTACTGGACTACTGGACTACTGGAATACTGGACTACTGGACTACTGGACTACTGGACTATACTGGACTACTGGACTACTGGACTATACTGGACTACTGGACTACTGGACTACTGGACTGCTGGACTACTGGACTACTGGACTACCAGACTACTGGACTGCTGGACTACTGGACTACTGGACTACCAGACTACTGGACTGCTGGACTACTGGACTACTGGACTACCAGACTACTGGACTGCTGGACTACTGGACTACTGGACTACCAGACTACTGGACTGCTGGACTACTGGACTACTGGACTACCAGACTACTGGACTGCTGGACTACTGGACTACTGGACTACCAGACTACTGGACTGCTGGACTACTGGACTACTGGACTACCAGACTACTGGACTGCTGGACTACTGGACTACTGGACTACCAGACTACTGGACTGCTGGACTACTGGACTACCAGACTACTGGACTACTGGACTACTGGACTACCAGACTACTGGACTGCTGGACTACTGGACTACCAGACTACTGGACTGCTGGACTACTGGACTACCAGACTACTGGACTGCCAGACTACTGGGCTTCACTGGTGGACTCATGCCCTGTGCCGTCTCCCTGGTCGCACTGACCTCCCAACCACCATGCAATTTCGCACTCACCTCCATGCCGTACAGCTGCAAGTGGTTGTACAGCGTCTCATTGCGCATGCCGTACAGCCGCGTGGTGCAGTACGCACGAATCTTCCTCGCCTCGAGATGGTGGAACGTGAATTCTCCCCGCAGGTCGTAGATGTAGAGCCATCTCACTATCTCACGGGTCCCATGGAACTCGCAGCCCACTCACCTTCCACCATGCACTCACCTTCCACCATGCACTCACCTCCATGCCATACAGCTGGAAGTGGTTGTACAAAGTCTCGTTCCTCATGCCATACAGCCGTGTGGTGCAGTACGCACGGATCTTCCTCGCCTCTAGATGGTGGAACGTGAACTCCCCCGGCAGGTCATAGATGTATATCAGCGGCTGCCGCCGCCGCACCCACCGCCTGCTGCTGCTGCCCACCGCCTTTCCCCACCGCTGTTCCCACTGCCTCCTCAGGAATGGCTTCACCTGCCGCTGTGCTGCCAGGTTCACTACCCTTTTCTGCCACCCTGGCATGGCACCTGCAGCACCAGCAGCAGCAGCGGCAGCAGCAGCAGCAGCAGCAGCAGCAGGAGCACGACGACCACCACCACGACCACCATCAGTAGCACCGGCAGAAGGAGCAGCACCGAGAGGAGCCTGTAGTCCGTGATGCGTCCCCTCCCTGCCTGCACCGTGCAGCACACGGCGGCGCACAACCCCAGGAGGGATGCTGCCTGCAGCATCGCCAGGTGTGGCAGTGGGGTCATAGGGGACTCCCGCGCTGCTTCTGCTGCCTCCTCCCCCATCCGTGCCTGCCAACGGTGCATTGACAGCCGTTGATGCCACGTCAGCGGGCGCCGAATCCAGCTGGAGCGATGCAGATGGATGCGTGAAGAGCGCACGGGGGGTGAAAGCGGACGGCACACTGCAGTCGATGCCAAAGAAGCCATATGAACACTGGAGAGGGGTGGATGGGATGGGACGGGACGAGATGACATGACATTTGAGTCGACTCAATGGTCAAGCAGACGGCACACTGCAGTCGATGCCAAAGAAGCCATGAGAACACTCACGCAAGCACCCACTCACCCACCCACGCACCTCACAGTATCCTCTGTGGCACGAGCCATGCAGAGAGCACTGGTTGAGGCAGAACGACTCCACGCGCACGTCACAGAAGGGGCCCAGGAACCCGTCCACGTCGCACACGCCACACCCCGTGTAGTCGCGCTGGAAGCCCACTCGCGGGTCAGCGTTGCAGTAGCCGGTGTGTGTGTGGAAGAGCAAATCCGTGTCCACCTCGCTGTACACAAAGTCGTGGTTCCTGGGGGGATGGGGTGGGGTGGTGGGTGAGAGGCACAGACAGAAAGCCACAGAGCTGGCGTTGCAGTAGCCGGTGTGTGTGTGGAAGAGCAGGTCCGTGTCCACCTCGCTGTACACAAAGTCGTGGTTCCTGGGGGGGCGGGAGGGAAGTGCCAGGGCGGGCGGGCGGGGGGGGGGGTTAGGGAATGGGGGGAAGCACGGGGTGTGGTGGGCGAGAGGAACAGATAGGCAGGCAACTGTTTCCAGTAGCTGGTGTGTGCGCGGAAGAGCAGGTCTGTGTCCAACTCGCTGCACACAAATTCGTGGTTCCTGGGGGGATGGGGAGAGGGTCGAGTGGGGGAACAGCAGTGGGGTGGTGGGGTGGGTGAGAGGCATGGATGGACCAGGGTCGGCGTTGCAGTAGCCGGTGTGGCAGTGAGCGTGGCAGATGGACGCCACGCAGGCAGCTACAGACTCACCCATGCATGCATCCTTGCACTCGTGCACCCATGCACCCATGCTGTGAATCCCTGACCCTACCTGACCCCAGGCCCTACCGGAACACGAACCCACACGGGTGGTTGATGGGGCGGTGGGGGAACCGTGTCCCATTCGCACAAAAGCAGAGAGCAGCGGAGGTGTTGCAGTGTGTGGGACAGATGGACGCCATCCAGGGAGCTACAGACTCACGCGCTCATAGACCCTCTTCCCCTTGATGACCACCACGCACCTGTACACAAAGCCGCACGGGTGGGTGATGGGGCGGTGGGGGAACCGAGTCCCATTCCCACAAAAGCAAAGAGCGGTGGAGGTGTCGCAGTGAGCCGGGCAGATGGACGCCACCCAGGAACCCACGGGCCACCCAGGTGATGCGGGCAGGTTGCACTGGTGCGGGTGCAGCTGGGAACAGTCAGCGCCTGCAGAAGATGCAGGGGAGAGCAGGGGGAGCGGAGGGAGAAGTAGGAGCGATAAGAGCAGGGGAGTGCAGTGGGAGTGGTGGGAGCGGTGGGAGCGGTGGTGGGAGCGGTGGTGGGAGCGGTGGTGGGAGCGGTGGTGGGTGTGTTATGAGGGAGGTGGATGTGAGCCAGCCAGGGACCCCCCTGGGCGCTACTGTGATACAGGGGCAGGTTGCACTGGTGCAGGTGCAACTGGGAAGTTAGAAACATTTCAGGAACCATTTTGGCACCTGAACAATCTCCTGAGCACCACTGTGCGCACTACTCCTGAGGAGTCACCGAGTACTTTCGACTCACCTGAGAATTCACCTGAGAAGCCCTGCCTGCAGCTGAGGATTCACCTGAGAAGCCGTGGCGGCATCTGCACTCCCCCAGCTCATGGTTGCACACGCCGTTGCCACTGCAGTTGCCGGGACACGCCCGCCAGAAGAGCGCCTGCGGTGGGGGACCAGACACCACACCACAAGAGACCCAACCGGAGAGAACGGGTAGGATCAGGAATGTCCCTCAATAACCGGGGCTGTGCCTCAACTATTTGGGAAAATCTCTTTTTGGGGACACGGGCAAATTGAGTCAACTTCTTTTTGCCCCTTTCCTTTCCCTCTCAAGGCCCTTCCCATCTATACTCCCCACACTCTCTGTCCCTCCATCCGCTATCCTCCCCACAATCCTCCCCACCACCGTCCTCCCCAACCATCCTGCATATACACACACACCTCGCCTACAGTTACGGGAGTCAGCTGGTCACTGCACGCCAGCAGCCACCGCCCCACGTCAGCCTTCCACGGCGCCCCTCTGTACTCCACTGCACCGCTGCTGTCCCCGCTACGGTCACCACCGTTACTGTAACCACCGTTACTGGCACTGCTAGTACTGGTATCACCTCCGCCACTGTTAGGAATGCGTTCTCCGCCCCCCGAATCTCTAGTGCCGCCATCTCCCCTGGAGACTCCCCCCGCTCCCGCTTCTTGATGCCGAACCTGCGATGCCTCCTGCCCCTTACGATCCACCTGTGCGACCTGTGCGACGTGTGCGACGTTCCTGTTCCACGGGTGCAGGCCCCACACGTCGCAGGCGATAAGCGCAGCAGCGACGGCGACCAGCAGCGCTACCCATGCCACGTGGACAGCCCCTGGGCCACGTAGCTGCGCCCCGGCCGATGGCGCTGGCGCTGCGAGAGAACTGCCACGTCGGCTGGGCGTGATTGGCTGGAAGACGCGAAAGGAGGTTCCGGGAGCAGCGATTGGTGCAGATGCTGCCGGCTGGAGTGCCGGCCGGCGGGAGAAGAGGGGCGGGAGGAGAGCCGGCATGGGCCCGGCGCGCGGGGTCCTAGCGACGCGGCAAATGAGTGAAACCCGGTGGCGAGGAGAGGAGAGGAGAGGAGAGGAGGGGAGGAGAGAAGAACCCGGACGCCGCGCCTGAATGGTGGTCGCAACGCAAGAACGAATTCGCGCCTTCATATTCCACGGGTCGTAACGCCACCTTCAGCACGAGCAGCCGCGCTGGCCCCGAGTCCCGCCATGGTTGACGCGAACGAAAATCACCGTGGCTCGCGTGGCTCGTGGCTCGTGGCTCGTGGCTCGTGGCTCGTGGCTCGTGGCTCGTTCAGAACGAGGCCAATGCCATTGATGTGTGAGGGCGAAATTCTCGATGAGTCTGAAAATCTTGCTGGAATCGAATTCTGTAACATTGCCGACAATGTGGTTGTAACATTCTTGCGGTGTACCGAAAATGTGGTTGTGATTGTACGAGTTTCCACAAACGAGTTGAGTGAGGGCGAACGAACTCAACTGATGGTGGGTCACTTCCCTTCGGTTCGCCCGTCATTTCCGCAGCATTTTCCTCAGAGCTGCACTTCCGTGGTGGGCGTCTCGCATCACACCGCCATTCACGGCGCGCTTTAGTGAGTCGCCTCCAAAGTTGTAACCCGCCATGCCTGCCGCAAGCGCGACGGCCGTTTTCCCGTCGCTCGACGGCTCGCCACAGCTGCGTCGAGCCCCGTTTCAGTCACATCCTTTATATTCCACGTCAGGATCATCCAGCACGTTTCTCCGCGCATCCCAACGGCCGTCCCACCTAATCCTGCGCCATTCCTTCGCACGCAGACGCGTCTCTCACCCCGATCGTCCCAATGTTCCCGCGCCTTTAAACCTGCTGCCGCGGTTGGCGCTATATTCCCGGCCGCTCCGGGCGGCGCGCGCAGCAGCTGCACCTACCCCAGTCGTTGCCGCGACTGCGGCGGCTCCGCGGGGCGGCAGCGATGACGAATACGACAGGAACGACCAGTGGTACGATTCGCGGGCGCGTCGTTCTGAGGAATACGAGGATAACTATAGCGGGGATTTTTTCGCGAGTGATGACGTGGCGTGGCCGCCCGGCGCGCGGTTCGGACAGAGAGACCAGCCGGATGAGAGCTGGATAAACGATTCTGATTGGTCGAGGGGGCCGCGCAGAGGCGGGCAAGCTGGGGAGGGGGGAAGATCTGGCGGAAGGCGGCAGCAGGGGGGCCTGGGGGGACCGCAGGGGAGTCGGGGAGGGAGGAGCGAGAGAGACGAGGAAAATGCGGAGACGCGTAGGGGGAGGATGAGGAGAAGCGCAAGTGGGGGGGATGGGTGGGGGGAGTTGGAGGAGGCGGAGGGAGCAGCGGAGAGGCGCAGGGCTTTAGAGGAGCAGGGATTGCGCAGCAACGGCGGGGTTTGGGGTTTAAGGGAGAGAGGGGCGGATACGGCGGTGGCGAGACGGGGAGGTTTCGGGCGGGAGAAGCAAGAGGAAGGAGCAGCGCGAGGGAAGAGACTCGGGGTTCAGGGTATAGGAGGGAGAGAGATGACTTAGCGAGGGGAGGAGGGAAGGGAGGAGTGAGCTGGGAATGAGAAGGGGGACGAGAGAGGAAAGGTGGAAGGCGGCGGGAGGGGAGAGGGGTTATGGTAGGGAAGGAACGCGCAGTGGTAGGATGGAGGAATCTTGGGGTATGGGTGGGACCGAAGAGGACACTGAAGAGGGGAGTCCGAGGAGCAGAGGCAGCAGCAGGGGCGTGGGCAGGCGGCAGTGGGAGGAATATGAGGAGGAGGAGGAGGACGACAGGGGCCACCGGCGGACCAGAGTATCTGGAGCCGCAGCAACAGCAGTGGGGGCCACCGCAGCAGCAGCGGGGACCACCGCAGCAGCAGCAGCAGCAGCAGCAGGCGCATCTCTCCTTCCCCTCACAGCTGCGCCTTCTTCCTCTCCTGCCCTGCCTTCCGCCCCATCCCCCTCCCCTTCCCCTTCCTTTTCCCCTTCCCCTTCCCCCTCCGCCTCCCCCGCCCCTGCGCGCGCCCCTAAGCTGAAGCTGGCGCGGCCGCCGGGGGTGCCGTCTCCAGGGAGGCCAGGGGAAGGCGTGAGGGCGGGCGTGCCGGTGTGCTACGGGTGCGGAGCAGAGCTGCAGACGCGCGTGGAGGACGCTCCTGGGTACATCCCCCCTGACAAATACGAAATGGTGAGTACAGAGCTCAAGAGCACAGGATAAGCGTTGAGGGAAGGGCGTGAGGGCGGGTGTGCCGGTGTGCTGCAGGTGTGGGGCGGAGTTGCAGTGCAGACGCGAGTAGAGGACGCTCCGGGGTACATTCCCGCTGACCGATACGAGACGGTGAGCTCTGGAAGTGCGAGGTGGTGTGGTGGGAGTTGAGTGAAGTGTGCTGTGGAATCTCGTCTCAGGGCACAGGGAGGTTGTGGGAGGGTGTGAGCGCAGGCGTGCCATTGTGCTATGGGTGCAGGGCGGGGCGGAGTTTCATTTCAACCACACTCACTCACATGCTGCCTGCCTGCTCTCAACCACCCCCCTCCTCCCCTCCTCCCCTTCTCACTTCTTCACCTCCTCCCCTTCTTACTTCTTCCCCTCCTCCCCTTCTTTTTCCCCTCCTCCCCTTCTCACTTCTTCCCCTCCTCCCCTTCTTACTTCTTCCCCTCCTCCCCTTCTTTTTCCCCTCCTCCCCTTCTCACTTCTTCCCCTCCTCCCCTTCTTACTTCTCCATTCTCCTCTTCCCAGAAGCGGCGGCACAAGCAGCTGCGATCACTGGTGTGCACGCGCTGCCAGCAGCTGTCCCACGGCCGCATAGTGGCAGCTGTCACGGGAAGAGGCACGTGTAGTGATCCAAAGCTCCTTCTACTCCCCCGGACCCCCCCACCCCCCTCTTCTCCCTTCTCCCAGAAAAAACGTCACAAGCAGCTGCGGTCGCTCGTGTGCACGCGCTGCCAGCAGCTCTCCCACGGCCGCATGGTGGCAGCCGTCACGGGCCACGGTGGTTACCGCGTAACCGGCCCGGCGGACATGTTTGTGACAGCAGAGGCGCTGCGGCAGCAGCTGACGTACGTGCGCGGGGAGAAGGCGCTGGTGGTGAAGCTAGTTGACCTCGTTGACTTCAGCGGCAGCTTCCTCTCAAGGATTCGCGATATAGTCGGGCCCAATCCTATTGTTCTCGTCATTACCAAGGTGGGCAGGGATGGGGAGCGGTGGTGAATGGAGGGTGCGGTGAGGGAGAAATTGGAGTGTTGTCTCAGAAGAGAAGGCGCTGGTGGTGAAGCTCGTTGACCTCGTTGACTTGAGTGGAAGCTTCTTCTCCCGCATCCAGGATATAGTCGGACCCAACCCCATTGTCCTCGTCATTACCAAGGTGAGGGGGAGAGTGCAGATGCACAGAACATCTCAAAACATGTTGACTTGCAGAGAACGGTGAAGGAAAGTGGTGGGGAATTGGGTGTAGGGAGTTAACATGTTTTTGAGACGTCTCAAAAGCTCACTTTTAACATGTTACATTGGGTGTAGGATGGTCTTTGCACATTCAGAGGCTGAGGGTGTTGAGGCGCTTCAGAACCTGTAAGGGAAGTACACCCGCCGGGTGGAGAATCACTTTTGAGAATTCTCAAAAGTGATTCCCAAAGAGAATTCTCAAAAGTGATTCCCAAAGAGAATTCTCAAAAGTGATTCCCAAAGAGAATTCTCAAAAGTGACTCCCACATTCAGAGGCTGAGGGTGTTGAGGCGCTTCAGAACCTGTAAGGGAAGTATCCGCCGGGTGGAGAAGATCGTTGACCGTGTTGACTTGTCATGCACACATGTGCCCATTGCCCTTAACCCCTTCCCCCTCCCTGTCTCGTCACCTCATCCCCCCTGTGCCCTATGCCCCTAAGCTAACCCCTGCCCTAACTCCAAATCCCGAACCCTTAAATGACAGCAACCCCTTATCTCCCCCCTCCATCATGCAGGTGGATCTGGTGCCAGAGGGCACGCACATGGATCCCGTGGCAGACTGGGTGCTGGCAGCCGTTGCAAAGAAGAAACTCAAGTGAGTCGCCCATGCATAGAGCAGGTCCGTAGTTTAGGGTGTAGGGTTCAACATTCAAGAAGTAGGGCTGTTAAGTTGGAGCTGCTGCTACTGGACTGATGGATTGGGTACTGCGACTAGTTCTCTTTGTTACTGAATCTCGAAGGAAAAAGCCTGTTCCAGGGTGACCGAGTCGATTCTGTCTCTCCTCTCCACCGATCTTCTTCACTTCTCGGCCCAACCAAGCACCTCCCAGTGCGCCGGCCCTTGATGAGCGGCAGTACACCCTTTGACTGCCATTCGTCTGATTAGACGCTAACCACTCACTCACGCATCTCAAACCCCTGTCGTCTTGTCTCGTGGTTCCTGCCTCTTCCTCCTCCCCCCTCGCTCCACGCCCCACCACAACACCCCTTTCCACCCTCCCACGCCCCCCTCCCCCAAGTGTGCTGGCGGTGCACTTTGTGAGCGCCAAGGCACGCACAGGGCTGTCTTCAGTGGCCGCCACCATTCAACGCGAACGCCAGGTGTGCTGCACTCTCGTTTGACTATTTGCTTTTCTACTTTTTTTTTTTTTAATCAGCAATCCAGGTATGCGTTCCTTGCTCGCTCCCTCTCCCCTCTCCACCAACTCCTACTCCAAATTCTCTCTACTTTCTTGCCAGTAAAAGATAATTCTTTGCCATTCTTCTCGCCCTTTCAGTACGTTGCTCCTCTCATCTCCGCTTCCATCTGTTGTACCAAGCTCATGTTTCCTTCTTTCCGTTCCCCTCCCCTGCTCCTCCTCCTCCTCCTCCTCCTCCTCCTCCTCCTCCTCCTCCTCCTCCTCCTCCTCCTCCTCCTCCTCCTCCTCCTCCTCCTCCTCCTCTTCCTCCTCGTGCCCTTCCACTTCGTTTCCTCCCTCTCCTCCTCTCCCCATGCTTGCGGGATGCAGGGTCGAGACGTCTACGTCCTGGTAAGCCCAACCGAAAACCACTGCCATGCCACCGACATATGCAGATGAGTCTGTTGAGCAGGGATGATTTCTCCCCCTGTTGCAATCACCCCATGCTTTACATTTACCCCATGTATGTGACTCATTCTCACTTGTACAAAATACACCCTCTCATCGCTCTCACATGGAGACTCACCCATCTCGTCCTGCCGGGTGTGCTCTTATGTCCCCACTGCCATTGCTGGCATCTGGGCAGGGAGCGGCCAATGTGGGCAAGTCTGCTTTCATCTGCGCGTTGCTAGGTATGCGGTCTGATTTCAGGTGTCCCCAGGCGTCCCCTCCTCTGCAGCTGACACGTTCCTTCATCTCTGCTTTGATTTGCTCCGCCCCCACCACCACAGACTTCACAAGCGCAGCTCATGGGATGCCGAGCCGAGCCAGAGCGTCACAGATGCACTTGAATCGTTTCATAAGAGCATCTCACATGCATCTTATTGCCTGCAGTTCCTTGCCTAACCCATGCCCATGTCCGTGCACATGCACATGGACATGCGTACTCATGCATCCAACCTCTTCATTCCCCCATCCCGCAGACGAGATGGCGAGTCGGGACATCATGGCAGCAGCAGCACGGCGTCGTCGCCCCGTGGCCTCTGCCATGCCGGGCACCACCCTGGGACCCATCTGCCTCAAGGCCTTTTCCGGTGGAGGGGTGAGTGTAGAGCGGTACAGATGGTCTGTGTCCTCTTGTTGCTTTCAAGAAGCTCGGCGTCGTCGCCCCGTGGCCTCTGCCATGCCAGGCACCACCCTGGGACCCATCTACCTCAATACAACACGCCCGGGGTGCATGTGCATCTGTACCATCTCCTGACTCTTGATTCTACTCCAAGTTAAACTCGTACCCTTCCCCCCCACCCACCCATCCCTCTTCCTCTCTCGTGACTTCTGTCCTCCCAGGACCTGTACGACACCCCCGGGGTGCATCTGCACCATCGCATGGCCGCCATGCTGCATCCGTGGGATCTGCACCACCTCGGCCCAAAGCGACGGCTGAGATCGTTCGTTGTCACCGGGCCTCTGGACCAGCACACAGGCGCAGGCAAGGGGAGAGAAAAAACAGAAGAGAAAGCAGAAAATGTGGAGAAACAGGAGAAGAGGGCGCAGAAAGAGAGTGTAGAGGGAGCAGGAGCGGAAGAGCGTGCAGAGGGGGGCACCAGAGGAGAGCAAGAGGGGCTTCAGGGCACCTCTCTCTTTTGGGGCGGCCTCGTTCGGATCGATGTGGTGAAGGCGCCAGCTGGCGCAGCTCTCACCTTCTTTGGCCCCGTGGCCATCCGCGTGTCCTCCGTGCCCACCCCTGCTGCCGATGCCTTCTATGAGGTCTGGTTTCCTTTTTCTGCCTCTCCTGCCTCCTTCCTGCCATAACGTACCTTCTCACCTCACTGCACACCTCCTCATCCCTTTTATATGTCAGGAATCCCCACATCGGTTCCATCTCACCCTCCCTCACATCCTCTGCTCCCTCACATCGTCTCCTCCCTTAAAATCCTCGCCACTCACACATCTTCATCCCTACACACCTCTGGGTGGCATGGCAGGCTGAGGTGGGTCGCCTGCTTGTGCCGCCATCCAAGCCATTGGAGGAACCGGCCTGGGAGGGGCTGCCATCGCAGCGGGCCTTCTCCTTCCGCCTGCCTGCCAAGCGCTCCAGGTGTGATCCTCGATTAAAGTTGCCCTTTACAAGCAGTTTCGCCTGCCTGCCAAGCTTCCACAATTCCTTCTGTCCCCATGGTATTTGCCATGCATCATGATCCATAGGAGCATCTTCTTCCTTCAAAGCACAAATCACATAAATTACAGGATGTATTTTGATGAAAATGTCTCATAACGGTCTGGGCCTGTACCTTATGCCCCCAACCCACCAGCCCGGTAGCCGACATCGCAATCTCCGGCCTCGGGTGGGTTTCTTTGTCTGGCGTGAAGCCACGTCAGCGCACCAACCCTGATGCTGACGTGTCATCTAGTGACGCCACCACCAGTGGTTCAGATGCTGGACGCGTGAAGCCTACTGGCACTTGGGATGATCCCAATGCTGCGAACTGTGCTCACGGCGATGTCGCTCGCTTTGAAGAGCCTGGAAATTTATCACAGGGCAAGGATTACAATGACGAAGATGGTCATGGGAGCAGAGGTTTGTTCGAGAAGCAAGAAAGCGATGTGGAGGTGGTTGTGCATGTACCCAAGGGCATTGAGGTGTTTGTACGCCCTCCCATGCCCGTTGGGTGGTTTGCCAATGACTGGTATCAGTACGAGGAGCTCAGTGAGAAAGAGGAGATGTCGAGACCTCGGGTGTTTCACGATGAAGCTTAAATTTCAGCCTAGTCCATGCGTTCCCATGTACTTATAATGCACTGGAAATCACCATCACCATCAGTGAACTGTATTCCATCTGAAATATATGCACTGGAAATCACCATCACCATCAGTGAACTGTATTCCATCTGAAATATATGTTCTGTCTTCCTTCTTTACATGGTGGATAAATGAATAAATTCACGAACAAGTAGTTGAAATTGCCATTCACTCAGTCCCGCCCGGACCATAACGTCGAGGCTCATTTTCAAATTTGGAACACGCCCTTCAGGACACAAACCCAGCCTGGAAATTGGTTGCTTGTCTTGTCAGTCACGTGTGCGTGAAACCTAGAAACTAGTTCTCGTATTTTCGCAAACGCAGAAACCCGGGATCGAGATTCTTGGTTCCGAGTGAACCGCAGATATATCCGATCAGCGGGGGAGTCGAACGGTTAATATTCGTGTGTATTCGTCTTTGCTCAAGTAATGGCATAGAGCCTTTTAATCTCTTCTGAAGTAATTCTTTCGGAACGGTAGTTAGGGCGAAATGGCAGGCGTCGGGGAAGCCCCGCCACCTGCGCCTCCGCCTCCGCCTGCCATGGCTGCTCCGCCAGGTGCTCCGCCAACGATGCTTCCGCCGACGGCGGAAGAGACAGTCCCGCTGAGCCTGCTGACTACTGCGACGGTTCAGCAGACCATGCGAGAGCTGCGACAGCTGAGCGAGTCGCTGGCTGCGTCCCGTGCGACGGCGGAGGCGAGCGGACGAGGTCCCGACGACGAGAAGCAACGAAAGGTCGCTCTGCTGAAATTCCTCTGGCATACGCGACAGAAGCTGCTGCGGCTACTCGTTGTAACGAAATGGTGCAACCAGCTGCCCGTGATCGAGCGGTGCAAGCAAGCGTGGACTGCGCTGGCCAATCACGACGCAGCGTTCGTACAAGCGGCGGACGGATTATGGATGACCCACGCGCAGATCCAAGGGGCGCGCGCGCCTCTCTACGACGTTCCTACGGCCGTCGAAATCCTCTCCACGCACGCTTACCGCCGGCTACCCGCTTGCGTAGACGATCTGCAGCTCCCGCCGAACCTGATGCTGCAGAGGCTCGGACCAGCTGCGGTGGCAGGGCTGGTACCGCCTGCAGGGGTTGCTGCAGCAGCGACGGCAGCTGCTGAAGCAATGCGGTTGCTGGGAGGGGAGGAGGACGAGGAGGAAGAGGAGGAGGAGGGTGAGAGGGAGGGGAAGGGGAAAGGGAAAGAGGAAGAGGAGGGAGAAGTGGAGTCTAAGGGCGTGAAGGGAACCACCATTCCTGCTGTTGCTGCTGCTGCTGCTGCTGCCACTGCCGCTGCTGCTGCTGCTGCTGCTTCTCCTCCTGCCGCCGCTGCCACACCTGGCGCCACAGCAGGGGCTGATTCTTTCCCAACCATTCCCGCGATGGCCAAGGCGAAGCGCGCGAGGCTTCGAGCCGCCAGGCGCAGCGACAGGCGAGCCGCTGTAGAGCAGATCAACTCCTTTCTTCGAACGCGGCTGCTGGAGACACCCATTCCCCCGGAGGTGACGCGGGTGCGGGTGGGAGGGGGCAAGGTGCGCGTGTATGTGGAGGGCGAGTATCAGGCCGATATCACTGCTGGTTACATGTCCAACCTGTCTCTTTGGAAGGTGATTAAAGTGAAGATTCTTGTACGGGGCGCGGAGAACGTGGCAGAGGGGGAGGGGGAAGAGGAAGAGGAAGAAGATGAGGAGGAAGAGGAGGAGGATGAGGGGGAGGGAGAGGGCAGAAAGGAGGGGAAGAAGTGGCGCCAGCAGCGATCACAGGGGAGGAAAGGCACGGCGTCAAGGCATCACGGAGGGACACGCAGCAGAGTAAAGGGCGTGAAGGGCATCCCTATGAGCGAGGTGCAACAGATGGCGCTAGCAGACGAGCTTCAGCGCCGCATGGCAGCAGCAGCCGAGGACCCAATCACAGCCCTCCACGTGGTGCTCCACCAGGTGTGCTGCGGCGTGGCAGCGGACGAGATTCTACTTCAGCTGCACGCGCTCTGCGCCGCCCGCTGGCGCCACCACGTCAAGTTCGAGGTCGCCGCCCGGGACGCGGGCGGCACGGGCGGTGGGAGAGGGGGATCGACAGGTGTGGGGACGTCTGGGGGACCCAGTGGGAGCAAAGGATGGGTGGCAGGGGAGGGGGAACAGGGGGAGTAGCAGGGGCAGGGGGACCAGGGGGAAAGGGCGGAGTGGGGGGAGCGAGGGTCAGTGGTTCAGGAGCAGCAGCATCGAGTGGGGGGCCAAGGGAGGGGGAACGATCCGGGGCAGCAGAGGCAGGAGCAGGAGGAGCGGGGGCAGGAGAACCAGCCGGGGGTGCAGCAGGGTTGCCAGCGGTTCCAGAGGTATCTCCTGCGGTGCTGCATGTGTGGTATTGGCTGGACCCAGGGAAGGGTGAGAGCACAGGGGGCTCGTCGTCAGTTGTGCTGGTCCGGCTGGGGATTGTCAGCTTTGAAAGTGCGGACGAGCCGCCGCCCTGCCTCACTCTCTCCCTCGCCCCACCCCCACCACCCCTCCTCCGCCTCCCGTCGTTCCTCCTGCCTCTGCTCCAGGCTCTTCTGCTGCTGCTGCGGCGGCGGCAGTTCCTGCTCCTCCTCCCTCCTCCCTGTTCTCTCGCCAGCCGTTGCGCACCCAGCTCATATGCCAGCATACGCCGCCCGTGGTGGACCCCGAGACGGGCGGCGAGGTTTGTCTCTATCTGGACCCGAGCAGGATCGACGTGGAGAAGCTGGTGTTGTTTGCCGCCCGGTGTTCTGCGCATGCCAAGCTGGCGCGGTTAAGGCGAGACCTCTTGGCCTCTCCGCTGCTCTGCTGCGGCCCTCAAGACTTGCTGCTCTCTTTCCCTCCTGCTCCCTCTCGCTCCTCCTCCCACTCTTTATCTCTCCCCACCGCCCACTCTCCTTTCTCTGATAACCCTCCACCTCCACCTCCTCCTCCACCTCCATCTCCTCCTCTGCATCCTTCTGCAGATGCTGCAAAGAGTGCAGTGCTGCCGACGGAAAAGCCACGCGAAGAGGGGGAAGAAAAAGGGGGAGGGGGGTTGGATGGCGTTGGCAAAAGGTTGGGGAGTGTTCTGGGGAAGCGCAAGAAGCTTATGGAATCTCTGTCGTTTATCAATGCTGGCATGCCAGACAGTTGTTGTGTTGAGGATGGTACTGGTGCTCATGGTGGTGGTGTTTCAATCCGTGATGACCCACCAAGAGCCAAGAAGCAGAGGCAAGGAGACGATGGGAGAGGGGTGGCAGCAGCTGGGGGTGGAGAGCGGTGGAGAGGCAGCAGCAGAGGTGGGGAGCGGTGGGGCAGGGAAGCATCTGGGTCGAGAGGGAGGGAGGTGCTGTGGGTGCGGGCGTGTGGCGACTGGTTTGCTGCGATTGGCGTGAACACACGGACCGGGCGGTATGAGGTGTGGGTGGGCGGCAAGGGCTTGTCCTGGGCGGCGGCGAGGGACGTGGAGGGGGCGCTGAACAGTGGGAGCTCGACAGCAGGCGACGCGCTGGTGCTGCTGCGCCTGCACTGCCTGCACGCCCAGCTCACCGCTGCGGGCATGGCTCTGGGTTTGGTGGTGAGTTGGGTTTGCCTGTGAGCTGTGCTGTGGGGATGTAATGTTTTCTGGGAATGCTCCGGTTCTGCCGCGGCTGCACTGCCTGCACGCCCAATTATTGCCTCTTGGTCCCTGCCCCTCCCACTTTTCACTTTTCAGCAAGGTTACTATCCCCAGCTTTTAACATTGCTTAACCCCCTCACACCGCTTTTCTCTTACCCCTCCCTCTCCACCCTGCTTCTGAACCTCTTCACCCTAAACCCCGCTCTTCCCAACCAGCCATACGAAGCGGGGCCAGCAGGCATTCGATACACATCAGACGACCCAACGCACCCCCTCACTCTCCCTCCTCCGCCCCGCACACTCCTCTTCTCCCTCTCAGACCCTCCCTTCCTCCCATACCCAACCCCATCCTCTCCCTCACCACCCCACTGTACTCCTCCCCCCGCGGCCTCTCCTCCGCCCAACCCCCCCTCATGGCCGCCCTATCTTCTTGCCGTGCTTATCCAACCGGATTTCACTCTCTCCTTCCGCCTGCTTCAACTCACACCCCCGCCGCTGCCCCCTCTAGTGTCACACCCTGCTGCTGCTGGGACCGGTGCCGCTGCCACTGGTGCCAGCGCTGGTGCTGGTGCTGGTGCAGGTGCAACTGGTGTAGGCGCTACTGCTGCTACTGCCGCTGCTGGTGCTTCCGGTACCTCTGCTGCTGCTGCTGCAGCAGCTGGGCAGTCGCTTGTGGCGTCGCTCGCGCCGCCAGGTGTCACACGCTGGTTGGCTCTGGAGGTGGGCGCGCTGGTGCTAGCGGCTGGAGATCCCGAGGTGGTCGCCCTGGCTGGTTCTGGGGCAGGAAAGGGGACAGATCGGGGGAAAGGGTGGAGGGGTGTGGAGGGGAAGGGAGGGGGCTGGGGGAGAATGAGCAAGGGGGGGAAAGGAGGGGATGGAGAGAGGAAGGAGATGGTGGGGGGATGGGAGGAGCTGTTAGAGGTGGCGGATGACTGGGAGAGTGATAGTGAGGGGGATGGTGAGGGGGATGGTGAGGGGGATGGTGAGAGGGATGGTGAGAGGGATGGTGAGAGGGATGGTGAGGGGGATGAGAGGCACAGAGGGGTTGGCAATGATGGGGAGATGGGCAAAGCAGGGCGAGATGGGGAGGCAGAAGGTGCAGAGCAAGCAGCAGCCGTTGATGGCAAGCAGGGTGCAGATCGTGTGGCTGGGGCCGTCGATGCCGCTGCAGCGGTTGAAAGCGGTGGTGTTGTTGATAAAGACACCACACCCATCAAGAAGCGCAAACGCCACCACACCACTCACCACCCATCCCAACCCCTTCACTGCGCTCTGATTGGCCGGCCGTTGCAGGAGCTGGTGCAGCTGGCAGGGCGGGGCAAGGCCCCTGTGTCCCTCATCTTCTCCCTCGTGCTGTCCCGCGCCCAGCATCTCGCTGCTGCTGCTGTCAAGCACTCCCTCCTCTCCTCCCTCCTCTCCTCTGCTGGTGTCTCCACCGTTCCCTTCCTCTCTGCTGCCTCCTCCTCTCCCTCCTCCTCCTACTACTCACCACTCTCCCCCTCCTCCCCGTCTCACTTCCCCTGTCTGCCGCCCCTAATTTCCTCTTCTCTCTCCTCCTCTGCCGCTGCGTCTTCCTCGGATTCCTCTTATCCACCATCCACTGTTCGCCCATCCTCCCTCGTCTCACCCCAAACCCTGCTGCGGATACCGGGCTTTCCCCCTCCTGCAGCAGTAGCTGCCTTGCCCCCAGATACCGCCTCCCCCTGGCAGTCCCTGCTACTGAGGTTTGATTCGCCAGCCACTGCCAGCTGGTCCGTGCTGGTGCCAGCTCAGCATTTCGTCAGCTTGTGGCGGCTTCAGGAGTTTTGTCAGCTGCGGCAGGAGCAGCAACAGAAACAGGAGATGGAAATCGAACAAGAAGGAAGATTCTCTGGTCCGGCCGAACCTGTGCATCCACCAGTGGCAGGTGACGCTGCCGAACCTGATACTACCGAGCCTTGTGTTGCTAGGTTCGGAAGAGCAAGATCACGCAGGGGAGGAGGGGTTGAGCATCGCATGGAGCGCCTCCTTCGCACGTGTGTGTGGGCGCGAGAAGGTGTTTCGTTCAGTGATGATGACAGCACAGGTCACAGCAGCACCACCACCACTACCACACCTCTCTCTGCTGCTTCTGTTTCTGCTGCCGCCGCTGGCGCCTCCGCTGCCGCTGCTGCTGCTGCTGCTCCTGCTCCTGCTGCTGCCGCTGCCGCTGGTACCGCCAGAGCTACTGAGTCTATTGTTAAACCTAAGGGTGCTGCACAAAGACTGCGGTGCACTCCCGAGGGACTCCTGCTGACGTGTCACAGCATGAGCCGATCCGCCATCGCCAGCATGGCGCGTGACCTGGCGTGTGCGTGGCAGGCCTTTCTCTTCATTGGCCAGCTCAGACGCATCCTGATTGGCCGACGCAAATCAGCAGCGGGAAGGGAGGGGGGAGGAAGAGAAGGGAAGGATGGGAGAGGGGGGGAGGAGGTGGGAATACCAGTGGCGGGGGATAGGGAGGAGATGGTGAGGCGGTGGGGAGAGGTGAGGCGGGCAGTGAGGATGGTAGCAGTGGGTCCCACATCTGTCTGTCTCGCATATGATGGTGGAATGCTCATGCCAGGCTGCCCGGTGCGCATCCAGATTCAATGGTTCCCAGCTGCCTCTACTGCTTCAGGTGGTGGTGGTGGTGGTGGCAGCGGCGGCGGCGGCGGCGGCGGCGGCGGCGGCGGCGGCGGCGGTGGTGATGACGATTGGGGAGATGTGTCATTAGCTGTGGATTGCAGGGTCGTGGTTTCACCTGATGACTTGTGGCCACACACACAGGTACACATGACTTGGCTGCCTCGAAACCCATTCATTCACCTCCGTACATTGCCTCATTTGAGGCGCCTCAAAAGTCGTTCACCTCCGTACATTGCCTCATTTGAGGCGCCTCAAAAGTCGTTCACCTCCGTACATTGCCTCATTTGAGGCGCCTCAAAAGTCGTTCACCTCCGTACATTGCCTCAATAACACTAGTGCCCAAAAGAATTACTCGCATGCTTCTCAAAGCCTGTCTCCTTTCCCTTCCGCGCCTCTCACAACCCAACCCTTCTCATTCCTTTCTCATTTCTTCAAGATCCGATGTTCCATTTTCTTACTTTCTGCTTCTTTTCGGTTTCCTGTTTTCCCTTTTTCTCCTCTGTCTATGGGCAGTATCTAGAGGAGTGTGTGCGCATGGACGACGCAGGCCTGCTGTTGGACGCCATTCGCCTCACAGCAGCGCCGCTGCACGCCTTGCACTCTGCCATCCGCCCCCTCCGCTCCCTCTCCGTCCCTCCCGCCGCCCTGCCGCCTTCGCACCACCACCACAACGCACACCAGCAACCACAGCAGCCGCAACACGTGCAACAAATGCATGCTAATGCCCCTGCACATGCGGCAGCAGCTGCTACTGGCACTAATGCATCGACTCCTACAGACCCCACACCACCGGAAGCTCCTGCTTCCGCTGCAGCCACAACAGGAACCCCTACCCCTGTCACTGCATCCCCAGCAGCAGCATCAGCCCCAGCAGCAGCAGCCGCAGCAGCAGCAGCAGCAGCGGCAGCAGCGGCGGCAGCAGCAGCAGCAGGGGCGTCGCGGGGGCTGATGGTGGGAGCAACGCTGTGCTCATTCCTCCCAGGAGACATCACCATCATCCCGCGCGGCCCCTTCTCCTTCCGCATCGTGTACCGCCACGACTTTGCCATCCACATGCGCTGCTTCGCGCCAGACTTCGTCTGGCTGCAGCCCGCCCCGCCGCCCAAATCCTACGACCTGCCGCCCGGGCTCGTCGCGATGTTCCCTGAAGGCTCTGCTGCTGTTTCGGCTGCAGCAGAAACTCCCAACGGTGCTGCTCGGGGTGGGAACAGGGGTGGTGGCAACAGGAGGGGTGGGGCACCTGGAGGAACCACTCCAGGCAACGGCTATCCGAATGGGTCAGCCAGTGGTTCTGCTGGTGCTGCAGCTGCAGCAAGTGGGGTGATTCGAGGGGATCTGTCTTTGGGAGGGTCCTTGCCCTGCCCACAGTTCCGCCCCTTCATTCTGGAGCAGGTCTCTCTGCTGCTCTCACAGCTGGACCGACATGCCCCTGACCTTCCCCCTCCTCCTTCTGCTGCGTCTGCTCATCCTCCTGCCGCTGCCGCGCCTGCTGCTGCTGGTCCGGGTGCTGGCAGGCTTGGGAGGTTAGGGTCGGGAGGAGGGCAGCACCCTGTCGGACCCAGCAGTTCACACATTCATCAACAGCAGCTGCAGCAGCAGCAGCAAAGCATGCATCCTCAGAATTACCAGCAGCAACACCAGATTTACCAGCAGCAGCAGCAGCAGAGGGTGGAGATGCTGCGGTGGCAGCACATGGCAGCGTCCCTCGCCTCATCCGTCCGCACAGAGTCCCACACGGCGATGGTGGGGCTCTCAGATGACGGCGGGTACGGCGGGGCGTGGGTGCCCGTGGTGCTGCTCAAACGCGTGCTGCGCAGCATGCTGCGGTACCTGGGGACCATTGCGCTCTTTGCCCGGTTCCCCTCTGTGCTGGCGGCTGTGCTGGGTCCGGCCATGGGGACCAGGGAGGCTGGGCTGCTGTCTCAGGATCCGGAGCAGCCTGCCCTGCGGTTCTTCATCGGGTGAGCCGCTCGTTCTGTTGTGCCGCAGCTCTTTCCACTGCCTCTTCTCCTATCTCCTTTCCTCTTACCGACTCTCTTCCTGCTGCTTCTGTTGGTATTCATGGTGAATTTGCATCAGTCCGTCTCACACTCTCTCTCACCCCACCTTCCTTCATCTGCATCTTCCCCCCCCCCCCCCCCCCCCCCAGCAACTATGTGTACATGGTGAATTTGCATCGCCATCGCCGACCTACTGCCGGAGACCCAACTCATGCTGCAGGTGAATGCCATGCCATGCCATGCCATACCATGCCATACCATGATACCATGCCATACCATGATACCATGCCATACTATGCCATACCATGATACCATGCCATACCATGATACCATGCCATAACCACCATAGCATGTCACATCATGACCTGCCATACCATGTCTTTAGCTCTGCATAGGTAGTTGCCGCGTCATGCCAAAGCAATATGGTGCTTTGCTTTACCATGCCATGCCATGTCCCGGCTTCAGCTTATGCTGCAAGTTTATGCAGCTCTTTGGTGTGAAGCTCGCTGCTGTGCTGTGTACGCATGTCATGCCATGCCTCACCATACTGTTCCATCCATGCACTGCCTTTAAAGGGGCCTCAACATTGAGGTTAGAATGAGATCAGTAATACCTCCTGGTGCCTACCTACCCCATCATTCAGGTTGTCAACGCCCGCATGGCCCCCCAACGCCGCCCGCCTGCCATGACACCCGACGCTGACGTGGACATGAGCCCCGCTGAGCTGGCAGAGATCAGCGATCTCTTCACCCGCAAGGTGGCAGTGGAGCCCTTCGACGTTTCCCGCCTGTCTTCGTTCGTGACACTTGTCATGCTCCCTTTGGCCGTGATCCGCGAGTTCATGGGCTTGCTGGCCTTGAGAAGGGAGCAGCAGCGACTGCTGGCCGCTGCTGCAGCTGCTGCTGCTGGAACAGGCGGGGCAGCAGCAGGGGAGGCAGTATCAGGGGGAGGTACTGCTGGTGGGGCTGGGGTAGGTAACATCCCTAGCATCCCCCCAGCTGCCCGGATCGCAGTTGACCTGTGCTTTGAGAATCGCATCGGCCTAGGCTGGGATCTCCCAGATTCTTTTGGGAGACACAGTGGAGGGCCACCTGGGGGAGGTGTATTGGCAGGGCAGGTTCACCCAGGCTCTGCTACAGCTGGGAATGCAGCTGGCAGCGGTAGAACAGCCGACCGCAGCGATATCAGCTACAGCCGGGCAGAAAGCCGAGTGGATTTCTCTCTTGTCCTGCTCGTGGACCATGCCGCCCTCTCCGCCGCCCACCTGCCGGTCCAAATCACGGGTGGCGCAGGCTGGCTGGCGCACTGCATCTCGGTCCGGCTCCGCTTGCACTTCTCCGCCGCCCCTGCCAATCCGGCAGCTGCTGGTGCAGGCGCTGCCTCTGTTGCCCCCGGTGCACGAGGGCCGTTGATTCTGCAGCTGTCTCTGCTGGCCGTTGATGGTAGTCATGGCGGGAAAGCATGTTGGAGTAAGGCAGAGGACTGGGACAGGTGTAAGCAGCTGATTGGCAGGGCGATCAAGGAAATGCCACCACCTCCACCAGCAGCTGCTGCAGCAGCTGCCGCCGCAGTAGCAGCAGGTGGTGGAGTAAAGGAAATGGGGGTGGTGGTGGGAGGTAGAGGGTGGTTGAGAGTGTTATCCGAGAGGTTGCAGGCAGCAGTGCACTCTGCGCTGGCCTCGTCTCACAGGGTTTGAGCTCGTCACACAAAATGTTTCACAATCGTGCTAGAGACGGTTGTTCTTTTGGGAGTAGTGATAACAAGGAATCAAGATGTTCACCTTGACATCTTGTGATCACAAGGGCTGACGCTTTCAGACACTCAGATTTTCCTGAAAAAAAAAAAAAAAAAAAAAAAAAACAACAACAACAACAACAACAACAACAACAACAACAAGATTCGACGCTTACGTCGGACGGGTTGCGTAGAGCTCTATCCCGTGTGTAAAAAACATTATAATAGAGTAAATTATAACTATATTTTGCTTATAGAAGCAAATCACTCATTCTTTAAATTTACGTAAAACAGGATAAGCTCGATAGTTCCTTACTATGGAAGAAAAAATATATATACATGTTTCTACGCTATAAAGTGTTTTGAGTGTTATTTATTATGGAAAATTTGGACTTTTGTCTATTTTTGTGATAGTAACATACATAAATTGTTTTCACCATCGACTTACTCTATTGTTCAATCAGGTTTACTATAGCGGGTTAAGCTAGTGTATCTGATGTGTCAGCTAGTTGGATAGCGTTGGGTGGCATTGCCAGGTGCCCTTGTTGTGTACTGCGCTGGCAAATTTTTCTGCGCTGTCAGGCGTTTACCCGATGCCCTTGTTCTGCGCTGGTAGGTATCCGTCTTTTTCTGCCACAACTGTCGGCTCGAATTCTGCGCTGTCTTTTCTTGATTCTTGTTCTTAGGTTCCTCTCGACAAGCACCTCCTCTGCTCTGGCTCCTTTTCCTCCCCCCCACCCCAATTTCTCGCCTGTTTTTCTCCCACCCATCCGTCGCTCTCGCTCCCATCCCGCCCTTTCCTCTCCCTCACTACCCGCCGTCACCTCTCCAACCCACCTCACAATCACTCCGTCCCACCCCGCCATCTCCTCTCCCTCCTCCCCGCCGTCGCCTCTCCCTCCTCCCCGCCGTCGCCTCTCCCTCCTCCCCGCCGTCGCCTCTCCCTCCTCCCCGCCGTCGCCTCTCCTTCCTCCCCGCCGTCGCGTCTCCCTCCTCCCCGCCGTCGTCTCTCTTTCGCCGCCGTCGCCTTCCCCTCCTCCCCGCCGTCGCCTCTCCCTCCTCCCCGCCGTCGCCTCTCCCTCCTCCCCGCCGTCGCCTCTCCCTCCTCCCCGCCGTCGCCTCTCCTCCTTCCCGCCGTCGCCTCTCCTCCTCCCCACCGTCGCCTCCCCTCCTCCCTGTCGTCGCCTCTCCCTCCTCCCCCCGTCGTCGCCTCTCCCTCCTCCCCGCCGTCGCCTCTCCTCCTCCCCGTCGTCGCCTCCCCCTCCTACCCGCGTCGCCTCCCCCTCCTCGCCTCGCCTCTCCCTCCTCCCCGCCGTCGCCTCTCCCTCCTCCCCGCCGTCGCCTCTCCTCCTCCTCACCGTCGCCTCTCATTCCCTCCCCGCCGTCGCCTCCGGCGACAAGTGCACGAGCGCAAGCGGAAGTTGGTTCGCGAGCGCGGGTCAGTGCGCGAGCGCGAATTGGTGTGCGAGCGCGACTTGTTTTCTGAAGCACCGTGATCATGAGGTGCGTTCCCGGTCCTTTCATCCTCCCTTTCCTTTCTGAAATATCCCCCCTCTTCCCCCCCCCCCCCCCCCCCCCCCCCCCCCCCCCCCCCCCCCCCCCCCCCTTTTTTTTTTTTTTGCTCTCTGCGCACATTTTGTCTGTCGATTAGTCTCCTCTTGCATTGCACTTTCATTTGACGAAGGGGAGAGACGGAGCGCGAGGGAGAGCGTGTGCGCGGGAGCGAACGCGCAGGAGAGTGCGCGTGAGAGTGGTCGTGAGAGTGCGCGGGAGAGTGCGCGTGAGAGTGTGCGAAAAAGTGCGCGTGAGAGAGCGCGTGAGAGAGCGCGTGAGAGTGCGCGTGAGAGTGCGCGTGAGAGTGCGTGTGAGAGTGCGCGTGAGAGAGCATGAGAGAGAGCGCGTAAGGTAGCGCGTGAGAGAGGGCATGAGAGGGCGCGTGAGAGTGCACGTGAGAGAGCACGTGAGAGAGCGCGTGATTGAGCGTGTGAGAGGGCGCGTGAGAGCGCATGAGCGTGCGCGTGAGAGAACGCGTGAGAGAGCGCGCGAGAGGGCGCACAAGAGAGCGCGTGAGAGTGCGTGTGAGAGAGTGTGTGAGAGAGCGCGTGAGAGAGTGCGTAAGAGAGCGCGTGAGAGTGCGCGTGAGAGAGCGCGTGAGAGAGCGCGTGAGAGAGCGCGTGAGAGAGCGCGTGAGAGAGCGCGTGAGAGTGCGCGTGAGAGTGCGCGTGAGAGTGCGCGTGAGAGAGCGCGTGAGAGAGCGTGTGAGAGTGCGCGTGAGAGAGCATGAGAGAGAGCGCGTAAGGTAGCGCGTGAGAGGGCATGAGAGGGCGCGTGAGAGTGCACGTGAGAGAGCACGTGAGAGAGCGCGTGATTGAGCGTGTGAGAGGGCGCGTGAGAGCGCATGAGCATGCGCGTGAGAGAACGCGTGAGAGAGCGCGCGAGAGGGCGCCCAAGAGAGCGCGTGAGAGTGCGTGTGAGAGGGTGTGTGAGAGAGCGCGTGAGAGAGTGCGTAAGAGAGCGCGTGAGAGAGCGCGTGAGGGTGCGCGTGAGAGGACGTGTGAGAGAGCGCGTTAGAGTGCGCGTGAGAGTGCGTGTGAGAGCGCGTGAGTGAACGCAAGAGAGAGCTCGTGAGGGAGAACGTGAGAGAGAGCATGAGAGGGCGCATGAGAGAGCGCGTGAGGGAGCTTCATGAGCACGCTGGGGCATATGCACTAGCATTTCTGCTGGTGCTTGGGCAACTGGGGCTACTTATGCAATCGAATGTCGCTTTCTGCACTAGTGCTTAGGGTGCCAACTTCTAAGGTGTTGGTTTCTCTGTTTTGTTGTGCGCAGGGCGTGTGTGTATTGACGTCCCTGATTTTGCTGTCTGCAGGGCGTGTGCGTGCTGACGTCCCTGATTTTGCTTTGTGCAGGGCGTGTGTGTGTTGGCTTCTCTCTTTTGGCTTTGAGCTCGTTTGCTCGTGTGTCACTGGGTGCAGGGAGTAAGAGCTGCATTTGCTGTATTTTCCTTTTCTGTGCAGGAAGTTCAAGCTGCAATCATTGTTTCTTGTGGAGAAAATAAGGGGGCTGGGGTAGGGGAGGGGGGGAAGGGAGATCAGGGAGGGGGGGAGGGGAATGGGGGACAAGATGGTTTATTAATGTGTTGTGTTTGTGTCTGCTTCGGGGTGAGTGCAAAGTGCCTCGTTTATGCAATTGGGGTTGTGATCGTTGGTGGGGCAGCTTTGCTTGCCTCTTCCATACCGGATCAATCGCAGTTGTATCAACGATGCATTTTAGCATTAGCTTCGAAGCATTCACAGCTCGTCCCTCGTTTCTATACAGGTTAGTGTGCTGTCGTTTGTGTCTGTTTTGGGGTGTGTGCTAAGTGCATTGTGTATGCAACGTGAGTTGTGATCGTCGGTGGGGCAGTTTTACTCGCCGTTACCGTGCGGAGTGAGGTTGTCCAATTGTTCCATTCGCCGTATTAATCGACGATGATGGAATGATTGGACACATTTGTTTCCATTTTTCAGGTAACTTACATGAACAGTGATTTCTCTCTTTTTTTTTTGAAAAAAATCACTGTTCACGTCAGTCAACCGAAAAGTGAAAACGAATGTATAAGGTTGCTACGCAACCCAAAAATCTTGTCCACGAAATGTTCAGGGTTGATATGTTAGGCTAATTAGAGTGATTAATCTGATAAATCAAGCCTGACGATTTTGAGATTTGAGAAAGATTTGCTAGTAAGATTCACAAAAGCTATTATCTCGACTCGCAGGCTAGAACCGTTCTCTACTCCAGAACATTCACATCCCACAAGGAACTGTATGTGCCGAGCTTTGAGGGCTTGATGTCAGATCAGGCCACAACAAGCATCGAGGATCGATGTTCAAGGAACAAATAAACCTGAAATCGGACGGCGAGGAATGGTTGCAACAGCAAAATCGCTGGTGCGGTCAGCATTCATAGAGGAAATGGATGGAGATTTGAGGGTGCCAGTTGCCACGTCACGAGATACCTTCGCGCACACATGGCTCGAGTCAGAATTCAAGACCCACTTCGCAGAAAGTTACTGAATCGTTCGCCACGGAGGAGGTGGTATCATTTTGCCAGTCTCACTTTTCGCCACTAGGATTTTCACCCAGATTCTGCAGCCGAACCACCTCACAACCACCAAAGAGCTTCACAGAAGTTCTTCCCTCCTGCTAGGGAGAGCAGACAACGATCCAATGTTCTTCACAATGGCTCTCTTCCACAGCTAGGGTTTGGTGGCCTCTCATTGGCCAGCACCGACAGTTCGAATTTGAGCGAAACGGCGACAGATCTTGAACTGGCGGGATGACGGATCCACCTGATAGATATACAAATCGACGGTCGAAAACCATAGGCTTTTCGTTCGTTCCTTATTGGCCTTGATTCCCGCCTCCGTTAACGGACTCTTTCTGGGGAATATCTGGACTTTCTTTTTCGGTGCAGCCGTTTGACGGCGATTGTGACACGTGACAAAGTGTAGCAAACGGAGGGTTCCAATCCACCTGAACCGCACAATCGCGTGACACGTTGAAACGTCGAACTACGGTTGAGATTGATTATAGTTCCAGCCTCCTCAGAGATGGTCATTTTGGAACCGTCAGATTTAGTCTATGAGAAACCATCGTCATTCCAGGAGGGTAGTGAGCCTCTCTCCGTGACCCCTTCGCCTGATTCTGGACCGTTCTCAGCCATTTTCGACACGATTTCTCTCCAACATGGCTCATTCTGCTCGTTTTCAGCTGTAGTTTTGCCTCCTGAGTGCCTTCTCCTTCGTTTTGGTAGCGAAGCTCATCCATTTTTTATTTCAATCGTCGTAACTCTCCGCTCACATCGAAATCTTTTAGCAATCGATATGGGGATCTTCACGAATCGGCATCCAAATCCACCAAGCTGCTGTCACTTCGTTGTGAACCTCCAGCCTCCAAATTTCGGTGTGTACTTCGTCGTCGATTCGTCTGTTAATGCAAATTTTCGCTTGCTTTTCGCGCTAGAGTTATCACTTACCAAATTGCGATTTTCCCGCTGTGCAGGTTTTCTCAACGTTCTCAGGGTGTTTGAGCATCGTTAAGCGATTTATACATCGTCGCCAGGCTGCAGCCAATTCGTCGCCAAAGTTCAACGATTCTAGGTGAGAATAATTCATGTCGCATTTTCAGTCCTTTTGAGTGTTTGCATAAGCATTTTCAGTCCGCTCGTGAGCGTTCGCAGCCAATTTCACCTCCCTTTCAATTGACTGAACATACTTTTTCGTTTACCTCTGCAGGTTATACTAACGCTGTCTCCACTAGCAAATGATTGGCATCTGCTACCATCGTCAGTCTGCAGTTTCGCGATTTCGGTGACTGCGTGAGTATTTTGACGAATTTTTAAAAATTGTTCCTGGATGATTGCTAATTCCGCTTCTCGTTCACTGGACCGTTCAGTTTCGTTCGTCATGGAGATTAGTGCTGTCGCTCAGAGCGTCTCCATCAACCGTGTGGCAGCAGCAGTGGCAGCTGCAGTCCTCGCAACAGCACCAGTGGCAGCAACGTCGCACGGGACGGCTCTGTCCTCCTCCTCCCTGGTATTGCCTCCTCCTCACCGGTGTTGCCTCCTCCTCGCTGGTGTTGCCTTCTCCTCCCCGGTATTGCCTCCTCCTCCCCAGTGTTGCCTCCTCCTCACTGGTGTTGCCTCCTCCTCCTTGGTGTTGCCTCCTCCTCCCTGGTGTTGCCTCCTCATCCTTGGTGTTGCCTCCTCCTCTCTGGTGTTGCCTTCTCCTCCCTGGTGTTGCCTCCTCCTCCCCGGTGTTGTTTCCTCCTCACTGGTGTTGCCTTCTCCTCCCTGGTGTTGCCTCCTCCTCCCTGGTGTTGCCTCCTCCTCCCTGGTGTTGCCTCCTCCTCCCTGGTGTTGCCTCCTCCTCCTCGGTGTTGCCTCCTTCTCCTCGGTGTTGCCTCCTCCTCCCCGGTGTTGCCTCCTCCTCTCGGTGTTGCCTCCTCCTCCCCCGTGTTGCCTCCTCCTCACTGGTGTTGCCTCCTCCTCAATGGTGTTGCCTCCTCCTCACTGGTGTTGCCTCCTCCTCCCTGGTGTTGCCTTCTCCTCCCTGGTGTTGCCTCCTCCTCCTTGGTGTTGCCTCCTCCTCTCTGGTGTTGCCTTCTCCTCCCTGGTGTTGCCTCTTCCTCACTGGTGTTGCCTCCTCCTCCCTGGTGTTGCCTTCTCCTCCCTGGTGGTACCTCCTCCTCCTTGGTGTTGCCTCCTCCTCACTGGTGTTGCCTCCTCCTCCCTGGTGTTGCCGCCTTCTCCCCGGTGTTGCCTCCTCCTCCCCGGTGTTGCCTCCTCCTCCCTGGTGTTGCCTTCTCCTCCCTGGTGTTGTTTCCTCCTCACTGGTGTTGCCTCCTCCTCCCTGGTGTTGCCTTCTCCTCCCTGGTGTTGCCTCCTCCTCCCCGGTGTTGTTTCCTCCTCACTGGTGTTGCCTCCTCCTCCCTGGTGTTGCCTCCTCCTCCCCGGTGTTGCCTCCTCCTCCCTGCTGTTGCCTCCTCCTCCTTGGTGTTGCCTCCTCCTCCCTGGTGTTGCCTCCTCCTCCTTGGTGTTGCCTCCTCCTCCCTGGTGTTGCCTTCTCCTCCCTGGTGTTGCCTCCTCCCCGGTGTTGTTTCCTCTTCACTGGTGTTGCCTCCTCCTCCCTGGTGTTGCCTTCTCCTCCCTGGTGTTGCCTCCTCCCCGGTGTTGTTTCCTCTTCACTGGTGTTGCCTCCTCCTCCCTGGTGTTGCCTTCTCCTCCCTGGTGTTGCCTCCTCCTCCCCGGTGTTGCCTCCTCCTCCCCGGTGTTTCCTCCTCCTCCCTGCTGTTGCCTCCTCCTCCTTGGTGTTGCCTCCTCCTCATCGGTGTTGCCTCCTCCTCCTTGGTGTTGCCTCCTCCTCTCTGGTGTTGCCTTCTCCTCCCCGGTGTTGTTTCCTCCTCACTGGTGTTGCCTCCTCCTCCCTGGTGTTGCCTTATCCTCCCTGGTGTTGCATCCTCCTCACTGGTGTTGCCTCCTCCTCACTGGTGTTGCCTCCTCCTCCCTGGTGTTGCCTCCTCCTCCCTGGTGTTGCCGCCTTCTCCCCGGTGTTGCCTCCTCCTCCCTGGTGTTGCCTCCTCCTCCCTGGTGTTGCCTCCTCCTCCTTGGTGTTGCCTCCTCCTCACTGGTGTTGCCTCCTCCTCCTTGGTGTTGCCTCCTCCTCCTTGGTGTTGCCTCCTCCTCCCCGGTGTTGCCTCCTCCTCCTTGGTGTTGCCTCCTCCTCTCTGGTGTTGCCTCCTCCTCCCCGGTGTTGTTTCCTCCTCACTGGTGTTGCCTCCTCCTCCCTGGTGTTGCCTTCTCCTCCCTGGTGTTGCCTCCTCCTCCTTGGTGTTGCCTCCTCCTCACTTGTGTTGCCTCCTCCTCCCTGGTGTTGCCTCCTCCTCCCTGGTGTTGCCGCCTTCTCCCCGGTGTTGCCTCCTCCTCCCTGGTGTTGCCTCCTCCTCCCTGGTGTTGCCTCCTCCTCCTTGGTGTTGCCTCCTCCTCACTGGTGTTGCCTTCTCCTCCCTGGTGTTGCCTCCTCCTCCCTGGTGTTGCCTCCTCCTCCCTGGTGTTGCCTCCTCCTCCTTATTGTTGCCTCCTCCTCCCTGGTGTTGCCTCCTCCTCCCCGGTGTTGCCTCCTCCTCCCTGGTGTTGACTCCTCCTCCCTGGTGTTGCCTCCTCCTCTCTGGTGTTGCCTTCTCCTCCCTGGTGTTGCCTCCTCCTCTATGGTGTTGCCTCCTCCTCACTGGTGTTGCCTCCTCCTCCCCGGTGTTGCCTCCTCCTCCCTGGTGTTGCCTTCTCCTCCCTGGTGTTGTTTCCTCCTCACTGGTGTTGCCTCCTCCTCCCTGGTGTTGCCTTCTCCTCCCTGGTGTTGCCTCCTCCTCACTGGTGTTGCCTCCTCCTCCCCGGTGTTGCCTCCTCCTCCCTGGTGTTGCCTCCTCCTCCTTGGTGTTGCCTCCTCCTCCCTGGTGTTGCCTCCTCCTCCTTGGTGTTGCCTCCTCCTCCCTGGTGTTGCCTCCTCCTCCCTGGTGTTGCCTCCTCCTCCTTGGTGTTGCCTCCTCCTCTCTGGTGTTGCCTTCTCCTCCCTGGTGTTGCCTCCTCCTCACTGGTGTTGCCTCCTCCTCCCCGGTGTTGTTTCCTCCTCACTGGTGTTGCCGCCTCCTCCCTGGTGTTGCCTTCTCCTCCCTGGTGTTGCCTCCTCCTCCTTGGTGTTGCCTCCTCCTCACTGGTGTTGCCTCCTCCTCCCTGGTGTTGCCTCCTCCTCCCTGGTGTTGCCGCCTTCTCCCCGGTGTTGCCTCCTCCTCCCTGGTGTTGCCTCCTCCTCCCTGGTGTTGCCTCCTCCTCCTTGGTGTTGCCTCCTCCTCACTGGTGTTGCCTCCTCCTCCCTGGTGTTGCCTTCTCCTCCCTGGTGTTGTTTCCTCCTCACTGGTGTTGCCTCCTCCTCCCTGGTGTTGCCTCCTCCTCCCCGGTGTTGCCTCCTCCTCCCTGGTGTTGCCTCCTCCTCCCCGGTGTTGCCTCCTCCTCCCTGGTGTTGCCTCCTCCTCCCTGGTGTTGCCTCCTCCTCCCTTGGTGTTGCCTCCTCCTTTCTGGTGTTGTCTTCTCCTCCCTGGTGTTGCCTCCTCCTCCCCGGTGTTGTTTCCTCCTCACTGGTGTTGCCTCCTCCCTGGTGTTGCCTTCTCCTCCCTGGTGTTGCCTCCTCCTCCCTGGTGTTGCCTCCTCCTCCCTGGTGTTGCCTCCTCCTCCTTGGTGTTGCCTCCTCCTCCCTGGTGTTGCCTTCTCCTCCCTGGTGTTGCCTCCTCCTCCTTGGTGTTGCCTCCTCCTCACTTGTGTTGCCTCCTCCTCCCTGGTGTTGCCTCCTCCTCCCTGGTGTTGCCGCCTTCTCCCCGGTGTTGCCTCCTCCTCCCTGGTGTTGCCTCCTCCTCCCTGGTGTTGCCTCCTCCTCCTTGGTGTTGCCTCCTCCTCACTGGTGTTGCCTTCTCCTCCCTGGTGTTGCCTCCTCCTCCCTGGTGTTGCCTCCTCCTCCCTGGTGTTGCCTCCTCCTCCTTATTGTTGCCTCCTCCTCCCTGGTGTTGCCTCCTCCTCCCTGGTGTTGACTCCTCCTCCCTGGTGTTGCCTCCTCCTCTCTGGTGTTGCCTTCTCCTCCCTGGTGTTGCCTCCTCCTCTATGGTGTTGCCTCCTCCTCACTGGTGTTGCCTTCTCCTCCCCGGTGTTGCCTCCTCCTCCCTGGTGTTGCCTTCTCCTCCCTGGTGTTGTTTCCTCCTCACTGGTGTTGCCTCCTCCTCCCTGGTGTTGCCTTCTCCTCCCTGGTGTTGCCTCCTCCTCACTGGTGTTGCCTCCTCCTCCCCGGTGTTGCCTCCTCCTCCCTGGTGTTGCCTCCTCCTCCTTGGTGTTGCCTCCTCCTCCCTGGTGTTGCCTCCTCCTCCTTGGTGTTGCCTCCTCCTCCCTGGTGTTGCCTCCTCCTCCCTGGTGTTGCCTCCTCCTCCTTGGTGTTGCCTCCTCCTCTCTGGTGTTGCCTTCTCCTCCCTGGTGTTGCCTCCTCCTCACTGGTGTTGCCTCCTCCTCCCCGGTGTTGTTTCCTCCTCACTGGTGTTGCCGCCTCCTCCCTGGTGTTGCCTTCTCCTCCCTGGTGTTGCCTCCTCCTCCTTGGTGTTGCCTCCTCCTCACTGGTGTTGCCTCCTCCTCCCTGGTGTTGCCTCCTCCTCCCTGGTGTTGCCGCCTTCTCCCCGGTGTTGCCTCCTCCTCCCTGGTGTTGCCTCCTCCTCCCTGGTGTTGCCTCCTCCTCCTTGGTGTTGCCTCCTCCTCACTGGTGTTGCCTCCTCCTCCCTGGTGTTGCCTTCTCCTCCCTGGTGTTGTTTCCTCCTCACTGGTGTTGCCTCCTCCTCCCTGGTGTTGCCTCCTCCTCCCCGGTGTTGCCTCCTCCTCCCTGGTGTTGCCTCCTCCTCCCCGGTGTTGCCTCCTCCTCCCTGGTGTTGCCTCCTCCTCCCTGGTGTTGCCTCCTCCTCCCTTGGTGTTGCCTCCTCCTTTCTGGTGTTGTCTTCTCCTCCCTGGTGTTGCCTCCTCCTCCCCGGTGTTGTTTCCTCCTCACTGGTGTTGCCTCCTCCCTGGTGTTGCCTTCTCCTCCCTGGTGTTGCCTCCTCCTCCCTGGTGTTGCCTCCTCCTCCCTGGTGTTGCCTCCTCCTCCTTGGTGTTGCCTCCTCCTCCCTGGTGTTGCCTTCTCCTCCCTGGTGTTGCCTCCTCCTCTCTGGTGTTGCCTTCTCCTCCCTGGTGTTGCCTCCTCCTCACTGGTGTTGCCTCCTCCTCCCTGGTGTTGCCTTCTCCTCCCTGGTGTTGCCTCCTCCTCCCTGGTGTTGCCTCCTCCTCCCCGGTGTTGCCTCCTCCTCTCGGTGTTGCCTCCTCCTCCCCCGTGTTGCCTCCTCCTCACTGGTGTTGCCTCCTCCTCACTGGTGTTGCCTCCTCCTCCCTGGTGTTGCCTTCTCCTCCCTGGTGTTGCCTCCTCCTCCTTGGTGTTGCCTCCTCCTCTCTGGTGTTGCCTTCTCCTCCCTGGTGCTGCCTCCTCCTCACTGGTGTTGCCTCCTCCTCCCTGGTGTTGCCTCCTCCTCACTGGTGTTGCCTCCTCCTCCCCGGTGTTGCCTCCTCCTCCCTGGTGTTGCCTCCTCCTCCTTGGTGTTGCCTCCTCCTCCCTGGTGTTGCCTCCTCCTCCTTGGTGTTGCCTCCTCCTCCCTGGTGTTGCCTCCTCCTCCCTGGTGTTGCCTCCTCCTCCTTGGTGTTGCCTCCTCCTCCCTGGTGTTGCCTCCTCCTCCTTGGTGTTGCCTCCTCCTCCCTGGTGTTGCCTTCTCCTCCCTGGTGTTGCCTCCTCCTCCCCGGTGTTGTTTCCTCCTCACTGGTGTTGCCTCCTCCTCCCCGGTGTTGCCTTCTCCTCCCTGGTGTTGCCTCCTCCTCACTGGTGTTGCCTCCTCCTCCCCGGTGTTGCCTTCTCCTCCCTGTTGTTGCCTCCTCCTCCTTGGTGTTGCCTCCTCCTCCCCGGTGTTGCCTCCTCCTCCCCGGTGTTGCCTCCTCCTCTCTGGTGTTGCCTTCTCCTCCCCGTTGTTGTTTCCTCCTCACTGGTGTTGCCTCCTCCTCCCTGGTGTTGCCTTCTCCTCCCTGGTGTTGCCTTCTCCTCACTGGTGTTGCCTCCTCCTCACTGGTGTTGCCTCCTCCTCCCTGGTGTTGCCTCCTCCTCCCTGGTGTTGCCGCCTTCTCCCCGGTGTTGCCTCCTCCTCCCTGGTGTTGCCTCCTCCTCCCTGGTGTTGCCTCCTCCTCCTTGGTGTTGCCTCCTCCTCACTGGTGTTGCCTCCTCCTCCTTGGTGTTGCCTCCTCCTCCTTGGTGTTGCCTCCTCCTCCCCGGTGTTGCTTCCTCCTCCTTGGTGTTGCCTCCTCCTCTCTGGTGTTGCCTCCTCCTCCCCGGTGTTGTTTCCTCCTCACTGGTGTTGCCTTTTCCTCCCTGGTGTTGCCTCCTCCTCCTTGGTGTTGCCTCCTCCTCACTTGTGTTGCCTCCTCCTCCCTGGTGTTGCCTCCTCCTCCCTGGTGTTGCCGCCTTCTCCCCGGTGTTGCCTCCTCCTCCCTGGTGTTGCCTCCTCCTCCTTGGTGTTGCCTCCTCCTCACTGGTGTTGCCTCCTCCTCCCTGGTGTTGCCTCCTCCTCCCTGGTGTTGCCTCCTCCTCCCTGGTGTTGCCTCCTCCTCCTTGTTGTTGCCTCCTCCTCCCTGGTGTTGCCTCCTCCTCCCCGGTGTTGCCTCCTCCTCTCTGGTGTTGCCTTCTCCTCCCTGGTGTTGCCTCCTCCTCACTGGTGTTGCCTCCTCCTCCCTGGTGTTGCCTTCTCCTCCCTGGTGTTGCCTTCTCCTCCCTGGTGTTGCCTCCTCCTCCTTGGTGTTGCCTCCTCCTCACTGGTGTTGCCTCCTCCTCCCTGGTGTTGCCGCCTTCTCCCCGGTGTTGCCTCCTCCTCCCTGGTGTTGCCTTCTCCTCCCTGGTGTTGCCTCCTCCTCCTTGGTGTTGCCGCCTCCTCACTGGTGTTGCCTCCTCCTCCCTGGTGTTGCCTCCTCCTCCTTGGTGTTGCCTCCTCCTCTCTGGTGTTTCCTTCTCCTCCCTGGTGTTGCCTCCTCCTCCCCGGTGTTGTTTCCTCCTCACTGGTGTTGCCTTCTCCTCCCTGGTGTTGCCTCCTCCTCCCTGGTGTTGCCTCCTCCTCACTGGTGTTGCCCTCACTGGTGTTGCCTCCTCCTCCCTGGTGTTGCCTCCTCCTCCCTGGTGTTGCCTCCTCCTTGGTGTTGCCTCCTCCTCCTTGGTGTTGCATCCTCCTCCTTGGTGTTGCCTCCTCCTCCTTGGTGTTGCCTCCTCCTCCCTGATGTTGCCTCCTCCTCCCTGGTGTTGCCTCCTCCTCCCTGGTGTTGCCTCCTCCTCCTTGGTGTTGCCTCCTCCTCTCTGGTGTTTCCTTCTCCTCACTGGTGTTGCCTTCTCCTCCCTGGTGTTGCCTCCTCCTCCCTGGTGTTTCCTCCTCCTCCTTGGTGTTGCCTCCTCCTCCTTGGTGTTGCCTCCTCCTCCTTGGTGTTGCCTCCTCCTTCTTGGTGTTGCCTCCTCCTCCCTGGTGTTGCCTCCTCCTCCCTGGTGTTGCCTCCTCCTCCCTGGTGTTGCCTCCTCCTCCCTGGTGTTGCCTCCTCCTCCCTGGTGTTGCCTCCTCCTTCTTTCCCAGCAGCCTCAGCATCATGGCGCTCTGCATGGCTGTGGTAAGTGGAGGTAAGTAGAGGTAAGGAGGCATGGGGGTGAAGTGTGGGTAGGGTGGGAGGGTGGGGAGTATGGGAGCATGCAGTCAGGTCACTGGCTTAGGGGCAGCATCCTCTGGGGTTGTGGCTTGTGGTGGTGGGGTGTGGTGGGTGGAATCTGCGCGGCACGGCACTCGGTGCTCAAGTAACCGATCTGACGTTAAGGCTTAATGGACACCGTCAGAGCCGACCGGCCGGCGGCTCTGGTTCGCGTCAGCTCTAGCTACGTCAGGGGTGGGATTTGAGTCTTGGGCTGGAAGCAATTTTCCACTACCACACCTCGCTACACAAGGCACAGCCTCTGGGATTGTTGTTTCCTTAAGAAAGTGGGCTGTCTGCTGCTCCTACTGCTGGCAGGTAATGGTGGAGATGGGCTTGGTGGTTGAGTGAGGGAGATAGGGGCTGAAATCCCCTTGGGGTGGTGAGTGGGAGAGAAGGGGGACTTCACCCCCTTGGGTGGTGAGTGGGAGAGAAGGGGGACTTAACCCCCTTGGGTGGTGAGTGAGTGGGAGAGAAGGGGGACTGAACCCCGTTGGGTGGTGAGTGGGAGAGAAGGGGGACCGAAACCCTCTTGGGTGGTGAGTGGGAGAGAAGGGGGACTGAACCCCCTTGGGTGGTGAGTGGGAGAGAAGGGGGACCGAACCCCTCTTGGGTGGTGAGTGGGAGAGAAGGGGGACTGAACCCTCTTGAGTGGTGAGTGGGAGAGAAGGGGGACCGATCCCCCTTGGGTGGTGAGTGGGAGAGAAGGGGGACTGAACCCCCTTGGGTGGTGAGTGGGAGAGAAGGTGGACTGAACCCCCTTGGGTGGTGAGTGGGAGAGAAGGGGGACTGAACCCCCTTGGGTGGTGAGTGGCAGAGAAGGGGGACTGAACCCCCTTGGGTGGTGAGTGGCAGAGAAGGGGGACTGAACCCCCTTGGGTGGTGAGTGGGAGAGAAAGGGGGACTGAACTGCCTTGGGTGGTGATTGGGGGAGAAGGGGGACTGAACCCCCTTGGGTGGTGAGTGGGTGGGATAGAAGGGGGACTGAACCCCCTTGGGTGGTGAGTGGGAGACAAGGGGGACTGAACCCCCTTGGGTGGTGAGTGGGAGAGAAGGGGGACTGAACCCCCTTGGGTGGTGAGTGGGAGAGAAGGGGGACTGAACCCCCTTGGGTGGTGAGTGGGAGAGAAGGGGGACTGAACCCCCTTGGGTGGTGAGTGGGAGAGAAGGGGGACTGAACCCCCTTGGGTGGTGAGTGGGAGAGAAAGGGGGACTGAACCCCCTTGGGTGGTGAGTGGGAGAGAAGGGGGACTGAACCCCCTTGGGTGGTGAGTGGGAGTGAAAGGGGGACTGAACTGCCTTGGGTGGTGATTGGGGGAGAAGGGGGACTGAACCCCCTTGGGTGGTGAGTGGGTGGGATAGAAGGGGGACTGAACCCCCTTGGGTGGTGAGTGGGAGACAAGGGGGACTGAACCCCCTTGGGTGGTGAGTGGGAGAGAAGGGGGACTGAACCCCCTTGGGTGGTGAGTGGGAGAGAAGGGGGACTGAACCCTCTTGGGTGGTGAGTGGGAGAGAAGGGGGACTGAACCCCCTTGGGTGGTGAGTGGGAGAGAAAGGGGACTGAACCCTCGGGTGGTGAGTGGGAGAGAAGGGGGACTGAGTAGAAGGGAAGGGGCCTGAATCCCCTTGGGTGGGTGAGTATAAGTGCGGGCGAGTAGAATGGAAGGGGCCTGAATCCCCTTGGGTGGGCGAGTATAAGAGCGGGTGAGTATAAGGGAAGGGGGCTGAATCCCCTTGGGTGGGTGAGTGGGTGGATAGTTTTGAGGGCTGAATTTCCCTCTCCCACTGCTGGCAGGTGAAGGACGGGATGGGATGGGCTGGGTGGGTGGGTGGGTGGGTAGGTGGATGGTTGGAGGATCGGTGATGGGTTGGGTGTATGGCTGGATAGGTGGGTGGGTAAGTGGTTGGTTGAATAGATGGTTAGGTCGGTGGTTGTTAGTTGGCTGGGTAGGTAAGTAAGCGGGTGGGTGGGTAGGTGGGTGGCTGGCTGGGTGAGTGGGTGGATGTATGGTTGCATTGTTTGGTGGGTAGCTGGGTGGTTAGTAGGTGGTGGGTTGGTGATGGGTAGGGTGACTGGGTGGTTAGGTGGCTGGGTGGGTGGGTAGCGGGTGAACGGGTGGGTAGGTGTGTGGGTAGGTGGACAAATGGGTGGGTGGGTTATGGATTGTTGGGTGATTAGGGGGGTGAGTAGGTGGTTTGGTGGGTGGGTGTTGGGTGGTGAGCAGGTGGGCTAGTGGAAAGGTGGTTGGGTGTGTACTAGGGTGGGTAGTGTGTTGGGCGGTTGGGTGTGCGAGTGGTTGGGTTGCTGCCTGAGTTGGTGGGTAGGTGGGTGATGGGTCGGTTGTGGTTATGTTGGTGGTGGGTAGGTGGGTGATGAGTCGGTTGTGGTTATGTTGGTGGTGGGTAGGTGGGTGATGGGTCGGTTGTGGTTATGTTGGTGGTGGGTAGGTGGGTGATGAGTCGGTTGTGGTTATGTTGGTGGTGGGTAGGTGGGTGATGGGTCGGTTGTGGTTATGTTGGTGGTGGGTAGGTGGGTGATGGGTCGGTTGTGGTTATGTTGGTGGTGGGTAGGTGGGTGATGGGTCGGTTGTGGTTATGTTGGTGGTGGGTAGGTGGGTGATGGGTCGGTTGTGGTTATGTTGGTGGTGGGTAGGTGGGTGATGGGTCGGTTGTGGTTATGTTGGTGGTGGGTAGGTGGGTGATGGGTCGGTTGTGGTTATGTTGGTGGTGGGTAGGTGGGTGATGGGTCGGTTGTGGTTATGTTGGTGGTGGGTAGGTGGGTGATGGGTCGGTTGTGGTTATGTTGGTGGTGGGTAGGTGGGTGATGGGTCGGTTGTGGTTATGTTGGTGGTGGGTAGGTGGGTGATGGGTCGGTTGTGGTTATGTTGGTGGTGGGTAGGTGGGTGATGGGTCGGTTGTGGTTATGTTGGTGGTGGGTAGGTGGGTGATGGGTCGGTTGTGGTTATGTTGGTGGTGGGTAGGTGGGTGATGGGTCGGTTGTGGTTATGTTGGTGGTGGGTAGGTGGGTGATGGGTCGGTTGTGGTTATGTTGGTGGTGGGTAGGTGGGTGATGGGTCGGTTGTGGTTATGTTGGTGGTGGGTAGGTGGGTGATGGGTCGGTTGTGGTTATGTTGGTGGTGGGTAGGTGGGTGATGGGTCGGTTGTGGTTATGTTGGTGGTGGGTAGGTGGGTGATGGGTCGGTTGTGGTTATGTTGGTGGTGGGTAGGTGGGTGATGGGTCGGTTGTGGTTATGTTGGTGGTGGGTAGGTGGGTGATGGGTCGGTTGTGGTTATGTTGGTGGTGGGTAGGTGGGTGATGGGTCGGTTGTGGTTATGTTGGTGGTGGGTAGGTGGGTGATGGGTCGGTTGTGGTTATGTTGGTGGTGGGTAGGTGGGTGATGGGTCGGTTGTGGTTATGTTGGTGGTGGGTAGGTGGGTGATGGGTCGGTTGTGGTTATGTTGGTGGTGGGTAGGTGGGTGATGGGTCGGTTGTGGTTATGTTGGTGGTGGGTAGGTGGGTGATGGGTCGGTTGTGGTTATGTTGGTGGTGGGTAGGTGGGTGATGGGTCGGTTGTGGTTATGTTGGTGGTGGGTAGGTGGGTGATGGGTCGGTTGTGGTTATGTTGGTGGTGGGTAGGTGGGTGATGGGTCGGTTGTGGTTATGTTGGTGGTGGGTAGGTGGGTGGCGCACAGTGGGTTGGCCATTGTGTGTTGTGATTAGGGTGGGGTGGCTGGGACAGTAAGAGGTGGGAGGTGGTGATTGGTGAGATAGTGAAGAGTGACATGAGGGTGCGTTGCGGTGAGGTATTGAGAAATGGATAGAGTGGATGATTTAAGGGGGAATGTGGGATTATGGCCGAGACAGTGACGGGGTGGTGAGATCGATGTAGATCGGGAGGCTTGGTACAAGGCAGGCTGGACTGGATAGGGTTGGATGAGGACACTGTGAAATGGGTGAGGCAGGTTGGGTTGGGTGATAAATTTGTGAGGTTGTGAAGTATGGGTGTGATATGGGTGCATTGGCGATCAGGGAGATGAGGTGTTTGGGTGGGATTGGGATGAGGGCAGGTTGGACTAGAGATGGGTTGGGTCGTTTGAGGCAGAATGGGTGAGAATGGTTGGGGTTTGGTTGGGGTTTGGGTGGGGTGGGTTGGTTGAGATCGAGAAATATGGGGTTGCTTGAGACAATGGATGAAAATAATCAGGATGGTAAAAGATGGATGAGAGAGACTGGGAGGTGTAAGGATGGCTAATATATGTATGCTGATTCCAGAACGTGATTGAATTGTGCATGTTAGAATGTGGATAGTGGTGAACAACCTTAGTAAAAGCCTCTTGAATAATTTTACACTAAAACTTTGTTTTTTCGCATGTGCAAAAAAGGATTTATATGAAACTTATCATACGACGTACATACATGTATGCATGACTTTAGTGTCACTATGAATCTGAAGGCTAGTGGCGCACTCAGTTGTGTTCTCAAACCAGGTCCTAAGGAATTGTGCACTGTACAGCAAGGTATCCCAAATCTTGTTCTATCCTAACCT